TTTAAGTTATTTATTACTGTGCCTGTCATTTAATGTTTCGTGGAATACACAATTGATAATATAGCTGATATGTGTCTAACGACATTGTTGTCGTTAGGCACAAGCTTTTATTGTATTGGTGGATTTTCAACATTTACATATACAGAGCCAGTCCAGTGTTGCATTTTAAAAATGTTTTGTCTTATACTTCTCATTAAACATATACCCTAGTTATAACATTATTTTTATGCTCTAATCAATAATAATAATAAATCAATAATCAAGTCGATCGCTTCTAAACAATCACTAGATCTATACTTTGAATCAGCATTCAAACGACGTTCAAGTGGTGCACGAACGCGATTTTGGTGCGCGCTCGCACATGTCTTGTCTCCTAACTGACTCACGCGCATACCGCCCCTATTGTTCCGTATTAATTGTTTGTGTAAGTACAATGAATGTTAAATATACTTATTCTTTGTATATTTTATATGGGTTATTCCTTTTTTTATGACGGTTATACCGGATGGGATTCGTTAGGGTGGGTGTTACTCATAACGTGATATGTGAAAGAGTTTAATCAATTTGTGACTTGTTTTTAAAAGCTGTTTTATCACAAGGATCATGTTGAGTGATAACTTTATTTTTATGTTTATTTATACTTCCTTCAAATACATTGCATAAGGCGGACTAAATGCCTTAGGCATTATCTTCCAGTCAACCTTGGGGTGATGCAGAGATGTGTGTGTGGCAGGTGTATAATGAGATAAATTATTTTAAATTGTAGTCAGTTGCAAGATGTTATACTACATAGATATCCTGGGTGTACATATATAGATGTAAATATGATTTATACGTACTATATAATAATATAAATATAAAAAAACATAAACATACACACATGCATCCATACATATATGGCTGCAATGATGAAGACACGAGGGGTTATTTTTTCGACTCCGCCAACAAGTCTCCATAGAGCTTGCGTACTCTGATTTTAAAGGTTGCTCGGATGGTGGACGTTCTGATCTCTAGGGGAAGGGCGTTCCAAAGATTTACCATATGACATATTTACTATTTGCCTACAACTTCATCGTTTTCCGTTTTGACTTTTCCAATTATATATATATATATATATATATGATAAATGATATATATATATGAAAAAATATAAAATTTTAAGTTGGTATTTTTGGCAAAAGATAATTTTAGGATCTGGGTACCAGGTTTATTTGAAGTATTTGTTTAAACAATCTCAGACTAACGATTCATATAATAACATAGTTTTACAAGAAAACGCCTACGATTTTTTTGGTAGTACCTACTACTAATTGGCAAAGCAAAATAACTTTTGCTATCGACTGTACTTCCAGATTGTTTTTGTGTCCCGGCCAATGTATTGTTTGTCCAAATTAGCGCCGTATGTATTGCTCCATTACCTTTCGTCACAGGATGCTTTAACCATAAACTCGTACTACTTGACAGGTGATTAGCATGTGGTTGTTACTTAACGGTTTCTAGGCGTTTTTACGGCTTTGTCTGGATGTATTATTTCATTTGATGATTGTAAATGTTAGTAGTAAATAATATTTGTACACACTAACGGAATAAAGGTAAAACTTCTCAAATCAAATCAATTTATTTGCAAATACAGGTACATTCGTAGGTGTTACAAAATAAAGAACTGTCCACTGCATTTCATCATTTTATTGGTGTGCAAATATTTATCATTAAAATGTTACATTTATTCCAATAACTATTTAAAATACAATTTTCCAAAAGACTAAGTTATAATATTATACAATTATGTAATTACATTATCAGTCATATAAATTAATAAATAAATCCATGTCACAAACTATACATTGTATAATTAATTATACTATTTAATATTATTGTCTGTTAAAAGTTATTTTACAGAGTAATAGGCCAACAGAAAATTACGGAGGTTAGTTTTTAAGCTGTTTGCATTGAATTAATCTTTTATAGATGCCGGTAATTTATTATTAACCTTTACAACCATACATACGCCATACACTACCATACATAACTGCTATTCGTGAGATTATTATGCAAACGCGTGATTTGTTGCGATTTCAACTTGTTTTTTGGAAAAGGTGTAGATTAGTCCAAACAAACTTACCAATTCATTTATAGAATTAAATGTATCGTCAAACGCATAAAATGTGGTTTAAATGAATCTGCTTTTTTGCAAATGGCATATTGTGCGTACAAGCCTACTTTGTGCTAAATATACATAAAAATTACCAGTAGAGTTTCCCAAGAAGATAACTCCATGCTTTAAAACTGACTCAACATACACATGATATGCACATACTACAGCTTCTTGGTTAACTTATTTACTTAGCATGTATAAAGCATACGAGAGTCGTGATATTTTATTAGTGATGCCAGTAATTTGTATTAAATGTCATATTATTGTCAATGTGTACTCCTAGAAATTTTGTAGATTTTTTGTTTGTCGAATTTCTTCAATTTTTTGTCCAAGATACTATTCTTTATTAAAAGTAGTTACCTTAAGACCATGCACAATATAAAATATATTTTTTATTGTAACAAAAAGTACATACAATTCAAATGCAAACCCTGATTCCCAAACTAGCGTGAGCTGTATATCGGGTATTAATTCCTTCCCAAAAACTAGTGATACAAAACATTGTTACACTGAACATATAGAAGTTACTATTTGTATAAATGCACAAGTAATTTGCTCTACATATGTGTTATTATTATAATTACAATGTTATAAAATAATTATAGGCCTCCTTAACAGTTTGACCTCAGACGGACCGTGTTACTCTAGGCTAATGTAATTATATATATATATATATTATAAACACTGCGGTAAAAAGTTAAACATTGATTAAACTAAATTGTGACGGATGGCCTTGTCAAATCGCTTTCACTATTAAGTAGATAAAGCTACGCAGATAAGGCTCGTTGATAAAGGACCTAAGCTGGAACAATCATGGCTATTTTACACATTTCTCCTCGCTTCCTATTTTTTCATTTTATCTAATGAATGTCATTTTTTTCATATAAATTGTTAAGTTATTATTGTAAAGCAAGACGAATAAACCTAAGATAAGCATGTACATATGTTTGAACTGTAGGAAATCTACTTAACTAATTTCTGCTAATTGGGCTAAACACTTACTAATGAATATACTTGCCTTCAAATCGAAGGCTAAAACTGCAGGATGTTTTGAGTATTTCGATATAGTATTAGTTACAATTGAAAACCTTGTATAGTATGATTATACATTTATAAAATAAATTATTTAGGGAAATACTTATAATATATTATAGTAATTAATTTTTTATACTTCCTTTGCACTTGCTACTTAACGTTTACATAGTATAAAATGAATGCTTGGGTAAAGCGGCCGTCAAGCGGCATACCGGGTGCTAGCGGCCGGCGCCGAAAATAAACCTCTAAAGAAAACATGCTTGTATTGTCTCATTAAAAAAAAGCTGTCAATGAAGATATTCTCTATCATAAATGAAGTATATGTAATAATAATAATAATAATATTGACACCACATTAGCTTCTCATATTGCACCCCTGCCTCGGCTTCCGTGCCAAGCTAGTATTTGATATAATTAAAACTAGTAGGTGACCAAAAAAGAAAGAAGATGTCACTGATTTGGTTTGTATCTTTGTCCCAAACAGGTTCAAACGGCATTAGCACCAATATAATTTTCATCAATAGTGCGTGACTTTTGACTCTCTTCCAATTGAGGCTAACTGATATGATATAGAGGGGACTGGTGCATCATATCAGTTCTTAAGCGTTGTAGGTTAAAATCTTAAGGACATTCAAATGAAATAAACTAGTGATTCTAGCACAATGGGTTAAGGCTTTTGACTTATGATTGAACGTTTGCCCAGAAAACTAATGATGTTTTGAAACCTCCGTGACTAGAGTTCCCTTAAAAAAATTGCTAGTACATTAGTTTAAAACAGCAAAAACATTGATATTAATTATATGATGTACTATTAACCCGGTGAACGTATCACCTAAGGGAAATTGATATGTCAATGCACTCATAAATATTTGCCAACAAACAAAAATATGTCGATCCTTAGTCATAGTGACACTATTTGCACTTTTTAAATCGAAATACGCAATAAGCTGAACATTGTGTATAATTTTTATGTTGTCGATTCGAAACCCTATTTTTGAAAATTTAAAGTTATTATTATTTTTATTTTCCCTTTATTTTCACAAATATTTTAAGACCAAAATTATTCAAATCAGTCTAGCCGTTCTCGAGTTTAAGTAAGACTAACTAACATCAATTCATTTTTATGTATAAGATTATTCATTAATTCCAAAGATATTCTTGAAGAATCATCCCTTGATGACATATGTACATATACATTATAAACAAAATATAAAGACAATGACATAAGAAGTCTGACATACAACTTTGGATTCCATTGGCTATTATCACTTTATTCCTTTATTAGCAGTTCGTAGAGAAGGAGCTTTATTTTAAACTAGCTGACCCGCGCAACTTCGTCTGCGTCTCTCAAGTAATAAATTTTCTCCGTTTTTGAAACATTCTTCATTGGTGCTCCGCTCCTAGTGCTCTTAGCGTGATGATATATAGCCTATAGCCTTCCTCGATAAATGGGCTATCTAACACTGAAAGAATTTTTCAAATCGGACCAGTAGTTCCTGAGATTAGCGCGTTCAAACAAACAAACAAACAAACAAACAAACAAACTCTTCAGCTTTATAATATTAGTATAGATTAGAAATTGTACTAAAAGCAGTTACCTGTACAACATTTAATAGAATATACTTAATAACCTAGTCCAGGTCTTAAAGGTCGTCAATAGTTTATTAGACTGCTGGTCTAGTGTAGGAATAGTATAAGGTAAGTATAAGGATAGTTGTTTTTTACAAAACTAAAGTAAAATTCACTTCTGGATCGCTGTGAAACTTGTGCTGTGCTGTAGAAACTTTAACAAGTTTTGTTTTTTTTTCAGCCATATACAATTACGTGGGTAAGTCCGGATCCCCACATCTCTCCCTGGAGGTCGGCGAGTTGGTGCACATTGAGCGAGAGACAGACGAGTGGTACTGGGGCAGGAGTCTCAGGCGGGACGCAAGCGGTGCCTTCCCGAAGAACTATGTCGTCATCAGAGACTGCATTGTAGACAGGTGAGTTTGACTTTAATCTTTAAACATTTTAAATTATTTATCGTCATTTTCCATTTTGACTTTTCACTTGTTTGTGTAGAATATTTTAATCAGTTTATTTATTTAAACGAACGTTAGACATTATTTTTATATTACATTATCAAAGCGCTCAGTAGCAAATTACTGGTCACTGATAATATTTAATTAAAGGGCAACTAGTTCCAGTAAACAAATACACGCGTATATATACATACAAGTCCATGTGTATGGTAAAGTTCATAGTAGTGATTCATACAATTATGTCAATGGGCAGTAATTATCAATCACGGTCATCGACCTCGTCACTTCGTATGTTTTTATGATGATAAACTGAAACACTTTCGAGGGCCCCCAGACAATGTGGTTCCATAGTCCTTGACCCAGAATACGTCATAAAATTTTTACATTGTATAACTGAAAGTCAGATCTTGTTAAAAAGATAAAAAAAAGAGCATATACTTAAAAATAGATTTGATGTATGTAGGTCTTAGGCTTTTTTCAGCACAATATAGATACGGAAAACAATAAAAAATAAACGATGAGGTACTAAATAGTTATCAAATTTGTGTAGTTCCTCCTGTATGTAGCTCAAAATTTTAATTTAAAATATGTATTACTTTAATTTAAAACACCTTAATCATCATTATCATCAGCCTATCGCAGTCCACTGATGGACTTAGATCGATTTTTGGTAACAATAATGTATTACGTGCAGTTAAATTGGACTGGATGAAAAATCTTTACGATGTTTGATGTCTGATGCATTTTATTGGAATTTCTTTGTTGTTTGAACACTTACAATAAATGTTTCTTTAATATCAGGCTTTCGAGGTTAGATGGTGTAATATTTTATTATTTATCGCTATTGTTATTTTTTTTATAGATAATATATATAAGAAATATTTTTACTACTCACATATTTTTAAATTAAGTTCTCTAGCTCGTTAGACATATAAAAAAGGCAGATTCATTCAATGACATTCCAGCAATAGTACAATATAAATTACAATAAATTTACATGTAGAACCGCTTAGAAATGTGTATCTCAAGTGTCCCTCAAGATTGTTTTTTTTTTCAGTATTAGCCAGACATTTGCCTGGCACAGGTTTCCAATGAACCTTAACCACACGGGGATAATGGGTCCTATCTATGGAAATACGTACTTTATGTTATAAGAGGCAAGCTTTCAATCGGGCCTTTGAAAATTAAATAAGAAAGTTTAGATTACTATTAGAAGGCAAAGCTAAGGAAGAAGGAAAATCAACAGAAAGAAAGATGAATTGTTTAAAATATACACAATGACTTCCACGGCCACGCCGCGTCCTAATACGCTGAGTGTTGTGGGTTCGATCCCCACGTGGAACTACACTTTGTGTGATCCACAAACTCAGTCTGGGTGTTCTTTGTGTCCGTTTCGTGTATGTTTGTAAAGTTCCCCGCGACACAGGATATATTCCTAGTGTGGGAGTTGTATCTTAAAAATAATAATTAAAGGACTAAAGAGTGTAAATAATTGCTCAATCGAATCTGGCTTGCATATCTGTATTTCGAACTGGTTGTTGCCTTAAACATCGATGGCTCTATCATAAGTTAATCTCATTTTGTTGCAGATGTGGTGAGACGGTCGTGGCGTCGGCTGGTGGTGGTGGAGTGGTACACGATATTGCTATCACCCTCAGAGAATGGCTGCAGCATTGGAAAAAGTTGTATATTGTATGTATATTATGTTTTCATTTTATTTATGTGGACGGATTTTAATGAAAACAAAACCAAAGCTTATTATTGTGTATGTAACTGCTTACTCACATCCAAACTCTTATTTAGCATTGAGTAAATACCTACGAAGGCGCTTAAAATATTTACACAGTGACCATAATAGGTACTCACTCATTTAACCTCTGTGCAATCCTTTCATACTTAACTTACCTAAATTCTATAATAGGGAATATGCATGTATTTTTTTTATTTTTTTAAACGATTCTACTAGTTATTACATTACCAAAAATAAATATAACACATCCGAAATATAAACCGTTCAGCAAGAAAAAAATATTAAAATCACTATCATTTTGGGGCAATTTGAACACGTTCATTTTGGCGCGCTTTTTTTGTGACGTCAGATTACACTTTCAGACGAATTCGATGTCAACAACGGAGTGAAGTTCACAAAGTTTCTGAAAGTTAAAAAAGTGAGTGATAAAAATTAACTTATTACCATGGAAAAGCCAATAAAAACTTATTATAATTATTGTGCCGTTCCTTTGTGCCCAAATAATATCAAAACTGCACCTGACAAAGTATATTCAGTCATTGTGTTGAGTTTTTCTACATGGGAATTTAATAATTTAACACTGAAAACGTATTAGTTATTAACTTAAAATGAAACAAATAATCACTAGAAACCGATAAGATCACCAGAAACCAAATATTACAAATACACACAACTTGTTAACACTCTTGACAGTGTAGGTTGACGTCACGTTTTATTCAACCAATAGCTTGCGTTTTAGAAATTTGCAAGGGAATCTTAAAAAAAACAATTTTTGATGATTAAGTTTCACTATTAAATTATAATAAATTTCAAAAATAATTGTATGGGTATCTTATTTTAGCAATAAAAATTACAAATAAAAGTATTTTGTCCATTTTGGTGTCACGTGCATATTCCCTATTTACGGACCACTGTAACATTGAGGTCGAGTAAAGGGTATTAGGGATTTCACAAGTCTTGATGAGGGAGAAACGCCACTAAGTTGTAGCTAGAGACGAATTCACGTACGTATTCCTCTGAAGGATATATACAACATCAGGGTTTACGTATTATATATAAACTTAAAACTATTTATTACCTTATAAACTAATATGCCTCACAAACATTACTCATTAAAGAACTAAAAGGAATCTATAATTGATCGTTCATTGTAGTGTATCCGATACGTTTGGGCGCTGGTTAAATCAGTGGTTATGCATAGATGTGATATTTGTTTCTAGGCAAGAATATAATGCTTCAGTTGGTAACTTTTAATAATAAAAAACTTTTACTAGTTATATATATATATATATATATATATATATAAACAGAACGGTATAACCGCAAGCGTTTAAGTCTATGTATTGGGGAATTACAAATATTATAAAGAAAACCGCAGTATAACACCACTACCTACTTACTCCTGACTTGCGAATACTGAGTAGTAGGGGAATAACATCAATAATTCAATTGCCATAGTTAATTTTTGTTATAATTGATTTTTTGGAACAAAAAATCGTTTAAGTGAAACTTAAACACAGAAATGTATTTGAGAAAAGTGCTACAATTATTAAAGCTTTGGTTATCACCCACGACCATGGCTCGGAGCGAGAGCGAACATAACGTTGTTGCATCGAAAGTGAGGCTCGCAAAGGAGATAGAAAACCAGAGACGTATCTCAACCCACACAGACGCACCAGGGCCAACTAATCACAGTCGATTTATATGAGCTTTAGAAATAATCTATAGTTACTACTCGTATAACGATTACTTTGATTTTTATATTCTCGTCGTATTTATTTGTATGTATTACTCCTTATTTGTACTATTATGTTATAACAATATGAGTTTCGTTGGTTGCTACATCTTAACAACAACCAGGAGAAACAAAGATAATATTTTTCATCCAGAAACGTAAGTTCCTAATGTTCCTGTAGAAATTAAAAAATCTACATTTATAATCAAAGCAAGTTGTCAATATGAATGTTTTTTTCAGACCAACAATGAGCGTCTTAGGTTTATGGAGGTGAGCATGCGAGCTCTCCTCGAACTAAGAGCTCAACTTGCCTCTGGGGCTCTACCAAAAGATCAGTTGCGAAGAGTCGCTAGAACTGCCGTTTTCACCATTGATAAAGGCAATAGGTAAGGATTTACTTTTAGGAAAAGTATTGCGATTAATCCTTATACTTAGGTTTTGGCCGGAGACGACGGGGAGCACGGGGAGGATAATGTTCCGCCCGTCCGGGATTTGGAGGTAGGGGCGGCTGTTCTACGGATCCGTTCCAAGAACTCCGCCCCTGAGCCAGACGGGGTACCGGCCCGAGTGCTGGCCCTAGCCCTCAACCACATGGCAGACCGCCTCGGGGAGGTGTTCGACGCTAGCTTGGCGTCGGGACGTTTCCCTGAGTGCTGGTAGAGCGGGAAGCTGGTCCTATTAAGGAAGCCGGGACGGCCTGCCGATTCGGTCGCGGCCTACAGGCCCATCGTGCTGCTGGACGAGGCGGGTAAATTGTTTGAGAGGGTTCTCTCTGCCCGCATCGTCCGGCACCTCTACGAGGTGGGCCCCGATCTGTCGGACGCCCAATTTGGTTTTCGGGCGGGGCGTTCGACAGTCGACGCTATGTTGCGCCTGAGGGCCGTGACCAAAGAGGCCGTGAGCTGTGGAGGCGTGCTGTTGGCGGTGTCATTGGACATCGCCAACGCATTCAATAGTCTGCCATTCAGCTGCATCAGGGAAGCACTCCACTATCATGGGGTGCCAAAGTACCTGAGGCGGCTAGTGGCAGACTATTTAGAGGAGCGTACCGTCGTGTACGAGGACCGAGAGAGTAATTTGAGGTGTCGGCCCATGTCGTGCGGTGTTCCACAGGGGTCTGTTCTTGGACCCCTCTTGTGGAACATAGGGTACGACTGGGCCCTTCGAGCCGATTTCCCCCCCGGGCTGGGTGTAATCTGTTACGCAGATGACACTCTGGTGACAGCCCGGGGGGCGAACTTCCAAGAGGCGGCGCGCCTGGCCACAAGGGGAGTCTCCCTGGTGGTCGGGCGCATTGAGGCGCTGGGCTTACGGGTGGCCCTAGATAAGACGGAGGCCCTGTTATTTCATGGGCCCCGTCGTGGTCCACCCCCTGGCGCCTCAATCGTGGTCAACTCGGTCCTCGTACCGGTTCGGGCCCAGATGAAATATCTGGGCCTGATCCTCGACGGGAGGTGGCTCTTCGACGAGCACTTCCGACAGCTTGCTCCAAAGCTGGTCGGCGCTGCGTCTGCCCTAGGGCGACTTTTGCCCAATTTGGGTGGACCCAGCGTCGCGACAAGACGGCTGTACACGGGGGTTGTCCGGTCAATGGCACTATACGGTGCACCGGTGTGGGCGGCGGCTCTGACCGCCCAGAATAGGGCACGCCTCTGGCGCCCTCAGAGGGTAATGGCGGTCAGAGCCATACGCGGTTACCGCACCGTGTCGACGGAGGTGGCGTGCGCGTTGGCCGGAACTCCCCCGTGGGATTTGGAGGCGGAAGTGCTCGCCGAAGTTTATCGGCGAGTGGCTGACTCCCGGGCGGAGAGCGGATTTCGCCCTCCGCCCGAGGATGTGCGCGAGTGGCGCGAAGCCGCTCGCCGAGCCACGATGGCTCGTTGGTCGTTCCGGCTGGAGATTCCACGCGCTGGCTTCGCCGCCGTGGAGGCTCTCCAGCCGGTCATCGCCGAGTGGGCAGGGCGGCAGCACGGGACCCTTACCTTCCGGCTGACGCAGGTGCTTTCCGGGCACGGTTGCTTCGGAAAGTACCTGCACTCGGTCGCTAGGAGGGAACTGAGTCCCGCCTGCCACCACTGCGACTGCAGTGAGGACTCGGCCCAGCACACGCTGGCGGTCTGCCCCGCATGGGCGACGCAGCGCCGGGCCCTCACTGCAGTCATCGGAGTGGATCTCTCGCTACCGGCCGTAGTACGCTCCATGGCCGGTAGCGACAGTTGTTTTACCGCGGTCGCAACCTTCTGCGAGGAAGTAATCTCGCAGAAGGAGGCGGCGGAGAAGACTCGGGAGGACGACCTCCACTCGGACCGGATCCGGAGGCGCGCCTATCACCGCCTCATGCCGCCCTGAGTGTGGCCGCGGGTGGACGGGGTAGGTTTCCCCTCCACCCGCATTAGTTTGGCCAGCCGCGAGGGGGCGGCGTCCGCGTGTGCCGGACGTCGCCTAAAGAGAGGAAAATTTTGAGACGGAGCCCGCACCAGGAGCGGGCTGGCGCTAGGAGGGGTCCGGATGTCTTAATAACAGCTGTTCCCGGATCCCTCCTGTTACAGGCGCAGAGTGGCACACTGTGTGGTTTTAGTCGGTCCGAGTCCGACACACCACCCCGCCGCAAACCCCGGTGGGGTGACGGTCCGAGAGGATTTCCACACGTTAAAAAATAAAAAAAAGGTTTTAATCTCGTTACTATTGTATAATTGTTAATAACAATAAAATTTTATTTACGATCCGTTCAAGAAAGATCAACGAATACAAGTCCAAAGAAAAAGAAATACGTAGAGTACACATATCTTCTTTCTCCCTCGGATATTAACGGGTACTGATACGAAAATCTGGTTCATTACTAATACGAATGAAATTATTAATAATTAAGTTGAGGTCATATTGTCTGCCTCCTTTCTAAGGAGAGGCCTATGTCCAGCAGTGGACTATTAAAGGCTGCTGATGATGATGATATTGTCTGCGGCTTTTATCTGTTTATGCTGTAACTAGAAATTACACATCATACATTTACGTAATTTTTTTAATTACTTGTTTTTGTACGTATTTTATGCATAATTTTTGATGATGTTAGAAGTTCTGTTCTTAAATACTGTTTTTTAATAGATCCTTAGGCATGGAGTTGGCAGTGCGAACGGCGAACGGTCATCTGGTGGACCCGTTTCAAGTGTCTACGTACAAACTGAACTCGTTGCATGATGAGGCCAATACTCGTATTGAAAAAAATATGGTTAGTTCAGTTTAAAGATCTTTATTTCTCAAAAAAAGTTAGTTTGCAATAATAATATTTTTTAAATCTCTTACTGTTTTCGTGTCTGTTGTGTTTTATTTCCTAATTCAGTATACTTCAAACATAAGTTATTACAGGGTTACTAAGACAGTTTCATACTTTCGTACAATAAAAAATACGCAAAAAAGGAATTCGGTGTGCGTATTAATTTATACCCAGCTTGTAGCGATCCGTCTTCTTTACAGGAAAATCGCGCCGTGCTTACGTAATGAAATTATAATAGTAAAATATAATTAAATTATTACTTAGTTGTAAATGTATTGTATAGTACGCATTTACGAGGATGGTTGACGTCACTGATAATATATTATTCATTTCGAGTTCTTGCACATAACGAATGAACTTTACATTAACCATACAATAATATATAGTATACTCACTCATTCTATAGTCTAGTATACTTCATTTGAATAATTTTTATTTCAGGACACAACGCCCGTCACTCCCCCACCCACAACCCCTCCGGGGGCCCGAACGTACACTATAGCAGTTCGCGTTCACAACTTCGTATGTCGCATGTCTGAGCCAGCGGAGTTAGCGCTCGCTTTGTACGATGCGAGCGGGAACAAGCTCACTGAGCATTTGTTGCTTGTATGGCCTGCTTCCAACCCGCTCAGTACTGTTAATCCCGCTAGCCCAATGCTTGTAGTTTTTACTGTAAGTATACATATCTGTAGAAGCAACAAGCAGAAATTATCTTGTTTTACAACCTTTTAGGTTCCTACATATAATTCAAATTTCGAACTGACTTGATTAAAAAATCAAAATATTTTTTTATTAATGATGTTATGTAACACTCAATGTAAAAGTGTTACAATTTCTTTTTATCTAACATTTGTTTTACAAAATTGCCAGATAGTACCTAATAATAATTGCCAGATAATAATATAATATGTAATTTTCATTGTACATTAATATGATGTGTTTATACTTAGTTGTCAGTATTAATGTGATATATTGTTTCAGGACTTCGGCTCCGATATATTGAAGAGTGAAAAGATATATCTTGTGTGTAATATAGTTCGATTAGGATCAATGGAGGCACAAAATGTAGACCACAGGTGAGATTGTATTCACTCGTAAAAATTGATAATCTGTGTTGGTTTTTAACAAAAATATAAATTTCTATCGGTTAATAGAAATATCCTAAGAAGAAAATCACTTGAGATGATCAGAGGCTCATTGGAAATATGGTAAGCCAGAGCAGACTGTGCTGATTTATTATAATAAATTAGGCAAACGAGCAGACGGGATAAGTGACTACCAATGAACGCCTGCAACTCGAGAGCCACGAGCTCAGTTAACAGTTGATGGTCCTCTCGTAATGGCCTAACCAATCACACGTCGGACATATGGGTATGCGAACCGGACCACTGAAAGAAAGGAAAAAGAAACTTTTTTTGACGGGCTTTGACGGGCCTGTTGGTCTAGTGGTTAGTGACCCTGACTGCTAAGCCGGAGGACGTGGGTTCGATTCCCACCCAGGACAAATATTGTGTGATGAGCACGGTCATTTGTTCTGTGTCTGGGTGTAATTTATCTATAATATGTATGTATTTAAAAATATATAAGTATGTTTATCAGCAGTCTGGTTACCATACTACAGGCTCTGCCTAGTTTGGGATCAGACAGCCGTGTGTGAGATGTGTGAAGTTATTATTATATTATTATTTTTAAACTTCTTTCTTTCTTCAGACTACTGCAATCTTAGTCCCGTTTTCTCATATGAGACTTGCGGTATCCCTTTTTCTGTTTTTGCCTGCCTGAATAGACTGCCTCGGTGTTGCAGTGGTAGCGTAATTAAAAATAAAATATTTGTTTCTGAGTTTGGGTGTTTTCCAAATATAATATGTATGTATTTACAAAAAAAGTAAATGTGGATTCTATCAGTCAATCTAACTTTCATAGTAAAAGTTCTGCTTTGTTTGAAACTAGATGGCATTGTGTGTCAGATGTCCGAAAATATTATTAATACATGAGACTTGCGGTATCATTTATTCTCCCTCCGTCACCTTATCCGTTTCACTTACATTCCCATGGACGGTAAAAGTGCAATCAGTTCTAGACACAAACATTTACTTTTAGACGCAGTTCAGTCGCCCAAACACCACCGGTAGTGTCATCTGGTCGGCAAATGAGAAGGCCGTTCGGGGTGGCCTGTGCGGACATCAAGCGGTACGTGGCTACGGATAACTCGGACAAACATATACAAGTGCCTTTTTATGCGTGAGTATCATTTTGAGGCATTACTCCATTACTAATTAGATTTTTTTTTAAATACGAAAATAGATATAATATTGATTAAAAAAACATACAAATTCACTTTAATATGAACACAAGAGCATTCAATGAAGTTTTGTTTAAGGATTTTTGAGTTTATGACTTATGACTTTATGACTATTAAAAACGTCAGCGAAATCTGACTTAAAAAAAATAACTGCAAAAGCATTTGATTGTAAAGGTAACTTTCAAAATAAAATTGAAAATGAATTTTATTTTCAAAACTTGTAAAGAAGTTTTGATTTTAAGAAAACTTCGAAATAAAAATTATAGCTTGAATACATAATTTACATAATTCAGTGTCAATAACAATTTGTTTTAGATATGAGAAAGAAAATCTCGACAGTTTGTTAAAGAAAGTGATAACTAATAGAGATATTAAGGATGCAAAACATTCACAAGGATTGTTCGTGTCGGTTCGGCTCGTGGAAGGTGATTTAAAACAAGTAAGAATTTTAAAATGCTTTGTGAGTGACTGACACAACAGGACAACAATACTGACCACAGACAATTTTTTAGTTTTCGCTTGAGTGGCAAATAAAAGAATCCAGGCCCATGGTAATTATGCTACTTTCATATAAACTTACATCATCATTGTCAGCAGCCTTTAACAGTCCACTGCTGAACATAGGCATTAGGCTTAGAAATAAGGTTTTGGCCTACTATACCACACTGGCCAGACAGGTTGGTATAGGGTTTGTGTCAAGTCTTCCTTATTTTTGCAGTGCCTGAATGTTCCAAGAAATGTTTTTTATTTACTAATCGATGTCTTTTACTGAAAAAATTTATTGCAGGCTTATTGTGAAGACTGACTCAATCAAATTGCTAGACCCTCTAGATGGGTTGGTATCGGGTTTGTGTCCGATCAGTTTGCTACGGGATGAATAGGGATTGTGACACTCCGTATTCTTATCTGTCAGCATATGTATTTAAAATCAATTATATTATACATGCACATTGCAGAAATTGTAGACACAGACGTATTAGACGTCCACATTTTACCACTGTAAATTTAGTCCCACACATAATAATAGGTGGCAAGTTTATTGCCGTCAAGTACGGGCTCTGTTTAGTTTAGGACTAGAAGTCCGTGTGTTAAATGTGTCAAGTGATTATTACTTTTTTCAAACAGATTCGCGAAGAAAATCCTCACCTGGTAGTGGGAAACACAGCAGTTGCACGCAAAATGGGATTCCCCGAGGTAATCCTACCCGGAGATGCTCGGAACGATCTTTACGTCACGGTCTGTGGGGGATCTTTCTCTAAGGGCGGGGGGAAATCATCAGAGAGAAACATCGAGTTAATTGCGAGAGTCGTCGATAAAGATGGACAGGCTATAAAGGTTAGTTTTAAAAGCACACTTGATTGTTATTTCATTTTGAACATGTAATAGATTTTATTAGTGTCTTCTTGAACCCATGATCATGAAATGGCCATGACATTGTATTATCTTGTAATGGCCTCCTGAATCAAGCGGTGTGTAATCTAAAAAGAAAGTTCATTGGAATCTGAAACAGACCTTGATCGCTTATTGAATAAAGGTTTCATTGTTGGGGTCTTGCTTCTCTCCAGTTTCAAGAAGTCTTAGTGGCAGTTTGTAATAAAGTGTTAAGGTACTATTGATAGCTATATGTGTTTACTCTTTAAACTGATGTCTTTCAGGGCGTCATATCGATAGGAGCCGGCGTGCCTTTGGTAGACGAGTATGTATCCGTGGTATATTACCACGACGACAGACCACGGTGGCAAGAAGTCTTTAAGGTAACAATTTGATAACATTATTATTTTATAAATAAATTAGAAAAAGTTGTTTAATATTTGACACCAACTGTAGTTTAATGTAACTTTTAGTATATACAGTATTATATTAGATGATACGAGTACCTACGTGCCCAACAAGGCCCTACAAAGTTTTATTCTTTAAACAATCTCGCTTCATGCTTAATAAATGTGATTGAAAAATATTACCCAAGAACACTTCAAGCATTGTCATCAGTTATCAGATTTTGTGTCTTGTTATGGCTTTCATCTTTTACATACTATGAAATAAAGTCGCTTTTTTGTTGTACGCTTAGATCTAAACTAAGCAACGGATTTAAATGCGTTTTAACCAATAGAGTGGTTTAAAAGCAAGGTTTATATATATATATGATACATGCATATTATAGTAGAGAAAATCCGAGAATTTCAAAGATTTGTTTTTTTATAAAACATGGGTTTTGCGCGCAATACATTGCAAACGCTGGCTAGGATTAGCCAGCGATTGCGCGCAAACGTACGTATTGTATTGTAAGAAATAGACCAAAATAATGTAACACGGATTTGTAAATCTTAAAAAAGATCTACAAAAAAGTCCGCGATGGTAAATGTCTATCTCATAAGGATAACCTACTGGCGGCTCGCTAGTTTTATATATATAACTTAGACACCATTTAACCGAAAAGTTATAAACCCTTAAAAAGTTTTATACTCTACCATCCTACAGGTATGCCTTAACATCGAAGCATTTAAAGACGCTCACTTGGTATTCCTTTGTCGACATCGTTCATCCAACGAAGCGAAGGATAGGGCAGAAAAACCCTTCGCGTTGTCATATTTGCGGCTAATGCAACGCGAGGGTACCACTACACCAGATACGCTACACAACCTGTGTGTTTATAAGGTAAGACATAAATCGTCAAAGATAGAAATGGTACCATGGTGTCAGTAAAATTTATATTCAGTACGCACTAATAAATATTGCCTCTATTTAAATTATTTAAATCTAATTATATTTTGATAAAAACGTTCTTATTGGCTTTTAAGCTGAATTTTTTAATTTGTGGTCCTTCGAGCCGGTTAAAACTGTCATAGGTTTATTAAATTGATTGATTTATGTGATCAATATGAGCGCTGAGACTTCTTAATATATTATTATTTAGATTTACGAGTACTATTTTATTTCAAAACGTATTTTTCTAAATGTCGTGAGAACGTGAGAGGCTACTATAAAGTTATAACAACATCACCAGTGGTTACACAATGTGCAAGTTTGTCGTAATCGATATCGACTCGGTCACAGATCGACGTGAAGCGACTGTCCGCCATGCTGCAAGATAAACAAAACAAGGTGGATCAGAGCGAGAGAGGGGACGAGCGGCACGGCAAGCAGCAGAGCGACAGGCTGCAGAGGCAGTTGCAGCAGGAGCTGGAGGCGGAGGCGTCGGCGGCGTGCCTGGGCGTGCCCGCGCGCCGCGCCGAGCTGCCGGCCGGCGCCGAGCACGGCCTCACGCGCGGCCCGCTCTCGCTCGTGCACCGCGACTCGCTCTCCGTCGCCACCAAGCTCTGCTCCACCAAGCTCACGCAGAGGGGTACGCTCTCTTTATCGATCTAGTGAAGCTCGTCACGATTACAAATAATCAAATATCAACAAAAATTACTAACTTAAAAAAAGACTTTGTACCTACTCCATGATAAATTGTAGTGGACTGTAGACTGTCTTGATTCTTTAATTTTTCACTGTATCAGTAATCATTTTTTTTCTACAAATTAACGGACGAATCGGGAGTAACTGTCCCAAATAACATATATAAAACTGTTTTTAGACTACTCGGGTTTAAACGAAATTATTACTTTCTAATCCCCAATAAATCAATAAATTATTTCGACAGAGGAAATTCTTGGAGTACTCAAATGGAGTACGCATCACGCCGAAAAGACGCTGAGAAAAGCACTCACTCAGCTTATGTACGTGCCCAGCGATGAGCTGGTCAAGTTTCTGCAAGATATTCTGGACGCGCTATTCAATATACTCACACAGGTATGTACTTCGGACTGACTGACTGGCAGTTATCTCACTACTATACTAGCAAAAAGTTTTATAATAAATATATCCATCTCTTGTTTTCTTTTAAAGCGAACGTCTATTATTTTAATTTAAATTATAATTGTTCTATTAAACTGGTAAGCCTCGGCTTTTAATGCATTAATAATAGATTTTATGCCACCAAAAAATTATTAACTCAGCGAACCAGCGCTCTTTCCCTAATATGCCGACGCCGCCCGTCCCCCCTGACCTCGTCTGCTCACAAATAAATAAAATTCAAGTGTCTGCCTAAAAACCTGTTTAAATTTTATTTTATCCTTTTTGTTCCCGTAATCTTCAAAACGGATTTTGATAATATTTTACTACCAGGGCAGCGTACTGTACTACACCACTAAGGCAGCACTTTCAAAAACTACGCGAACGCAATCGCGGGTACCAGCTAGTTTAATTAAAATAATAGTCTCCTAATGTTTTGTTATTGTTAAGGTTTGTTTGTCTTACAGGTAGAAGAGCCCAACGTATCCCTATGCGAAGATAGTTACGAGGTACTAGTCTTCGACTGTCTCCTCCGAGTGATATCCCTAGTCACAGACCACAAATACCAACATTTCCAACCGGTTCTTCACGTTTACATTGATGAGAGCTTCTGTGACGCTATCGCTTATGAGTGAGTTTAATTATTTGTTTGACACTTCACATCACCACACAATTATTTGTCCTGGGTGGGAATCGAACTCACGACTTCAGCCTTACCACTCAGGGTCATTAACCACTACACCAACAGACCTGTCTGCTTGACCTGCATATCTGACTACCATATTTTTATTTGCTCCTCATTAGGAAGCTCATCTCAGTGATAGTGTGGGTCATATCCGAGGCAAATTCAGGTGAACCTGCCCTTAAACGTCTACTGCTTTGCATGAAATGTATCGAGAGCCTCACGAGATTTATTGTGCGGAGCCGACAGTTGAGAACCGCCTTGAAAACGGAAGCGAAAGAAATCAACGATTCCAGTGATTTTAATTCTCTGATGGAGGTGAGCTATTTTTTTCTTGATATTAAGTAATAAATTCCCCCATTCTAAGGAGGTCATAAGTCTGTTTGTAAGATGCATCCTACGAAAATGAGTGAATCCAATACTTCTGCATTATAATCTTTCAGTATTCAGAGTCCCTGTCTGCGCATTTGCCTACAAGATGCAAGAATCATTCCTCTTACAAATTAATACATTAGAGATGATACAATCGAATCTGTCACATCTTATACTTAAATTAAACCATAATTTGGACGACCTGTGTTTTCAATACACCTGATATTTTTCATTATATTTTCATTTCAGACGCTACTGAACGCTCTAGTTTGGCTAATGCGGTGCGGCGATCACGCTTTGACTTGTCAAGGGTCTGCGCTAAAATATCTTCCACACGCTGTGCCACATACTATCACAGTTTACTCTGACGCACAACTAAGGTAACTATAATAATTTGACTCAACCATACCATGATGACCAATTCTTGTGCCTGTCTTTTTACGTTCCTAATGATAGATACGTCCATACGGGTAAACATTCTTTCGCTGCATCGCTGAATTGGTCGACTGGTAGAGAATGCCGTGGCTATTAAGTCCAATGTATATATTTGTGAATGAAATCACAATTAAAATTAAAATAAATAAACCAACCGGGATTCTTCGAGTTTGATGCCCTCTTCTACCACTCGTTTTCCGTTCCTTGCTTAATTTCTGTCTGTCTTTATTCTGTATGACAACGGTTACTTACTGAAGGAATTTTGTTGTCAGACTGAACGGTCAAAAGACTGGTCGTAAAAGAAACAAACCAAAAACCATTGCAATGTTTCATTACGCTGACTCTAAAAAAGTTGAGAAAAATTATGATTTATGGAACATAGTAGTAAATTAAGTGTTAGTTCTCCGCAATCGATAGAGAATAAAAATTAATAATTTGATACACTAAAATGATATCTATAAAAACCGTAAACGATTATACTTAGACCAGTCCCACCGAATAAATGAATAATTTATCATTTGGCCATCTTTATCATAATATAAGTCAATTAGTTTCTCTCCATAAAATAAATCAATATCTATATATCTATTTTTTGGACCTAACCAATGAAGTCACAGCTAAGCTTGATGATAAACTAAAAGTTATGGGTGTTTTTCTAGACATATCAAAAGCTTTTAATATGATCTCTGTTCCTATCCTTGTAACTAAATTGGAAAAAATCGGTATCCGAGGTAGTCAACTGTCTCTATTCAAAAGTTATCTCATCAATAGAAGACAGTATGTTAGGATTAGCGATATCTGTAGCCAAGAGCTATTTGTAATCAATGGAGTCCCACAGGGCAGCATCCTCGGCCCTACCTTATTTTTATTGTATATTAATGATCTGTGCCAATTACAACTAAACAGCACCAAGATTTTTACTTACGCCGACGATACAGCCCTTATATCTTATGGCAGCTCTTGGGAGGCGGCATTTGAGAGTGCACAATCGGGTCTTAACGCTGTTACTAATTGGCTGGCCAATAATCAACTCGCACTCAATGTTGATAAAACTAGTTACCTCACATTTTCACTAACTTCACTTGGAAGGACTTCTTCATTATTCTATACCCTCGTCGCTCACTCCTGTAATCCGCTCTCACAGGCCTCTTGTAATTGCCCCAACCTGTGCCGAACTAACAGTGTAAAATATCTAGGGGTACAGATTGACGACACTCTCTCCTTCCATTCACACATAGACGCACTATCCTCCAGACTACGAAAGCTCATATTTGTCTTTAAAACCCTCGGTCAGGTAGCTGATACACAAATACTTAGGACCACCTATCTTGCTCTTTGCCAGTCTCTGACGCAGTACTGCATCGTTGCCTGGGGAGGTGCAGATAAAACATATCTCCTTAAATTGGAGCGTGCCCAAAGGGCGGTACTAAAAGTTGGTTGGAGGCTACCATACCGTTTCCCGACCACTGATGTTTATAAAACCTGTAATGTGCTCTCTGTCCGTAAACTATTTATCCTCTCCGTTATTCTTACGACACACTCTCAGACTCCTTATGATCCTTCGAAATTTAAGTCTGTTCGCCGAAAGTATACTGTATGCCCGTCAAACCCGGTCAGAACAAGATTAGCACAGCGATGTTTTTACCACTTTGGTAACTATTTGTACAACAAAGTTAACAAAATCCTGAATGTGTACCCAATGACTAAATTTCAATGTAAAAAAGCTGTTACCAAGTGGTTGATTGATTTGGATTATGACGAAACAGAAAAGATAATCTGTACTTTAAAATAAGTACTGTCACTCATGCGCATACACAAACACACACACACGCACACACACTCAACACACACACACACGCACGCATACACTAATTTCTAATTCTTCTTACCTTTTTTAATTATATTTTGAATTAATAAATAAAAATAAAAAATGTATCACGTTGCTCAAAATCTACATGTATATGTATTGCATCTGTATCGCTAAGGTGGAGCCTGGAGATTTGTCACACAGGTTTCGAACCTACTACCAACTCCAGCTCTCACTAAGGTGTCATGTATGTTATTTTTATTATAGTAGCATAACAAACCTATGTACCTATTTACCTTTTTGAGACAAATAAACCTTATTATTATTAATAGACTGAATGTAGAGTAAATGAAACAAAAAATTATGAAAGTAATAGATGTCACAAGATTTATTTTAACTGAACAGTGCCTTCATAGTACGCGCTTTCGAAGCATTACCTCTCGGGCGTCTCAGCAAACAACGGATGCACGCACTCTTGGATCTTGTAAGAGGACCCCTGTGTGCTACCCACGGAGCGAGATCCTTGTTACTGCCACATCTGGCCACAACTACCAAAGCTTTGCTCCGAGATAAGGCAGAGGTGAATATATTACACTGTAAACCACATACGTACACACATACGTTCACGAACGAGTAAACGTACATACATATATACTAAAGAAAATACAGTCCACAGTAGAAAAATTAAGTAAATACAGTAACACATTTAGATCTAAAAATGCTATTTTAAAATACTTTTTAATCCAAAATAAATGATCTCAGCATTATGCTACGAGTTAATAATTTATGTCATGCTGTGTTACGATTAATTTTACACACACATTTTTATGCAAATTCTTCATTAATTTTAGGATTTTTATACTGTGAAATATAATTTCTCAACAAAGGAACAGAGAAAAAAATATTTTCATACACACGATGTAACTTGTTAATTACATTTTCTTGTTATTAATTTTGAAAAACTTTTTATTTTATGCATATATCAAAGTTTTTGTACACAATTTATATTCAATAATTAGTTATCATACGAATATGTAGATTCATGCTTGTAATATGATAAATCGGGATAGACTAAGAAACATTTTTTCAACACAATCTTAAAAATAAGTAAGACTTAACAAATATATAGGTGAGTATTTATAACATTTTTCATTGGCAACACTTTTTAGTGTAACCAGGAGAAATTCCATGACAACATTTAAAGCATACATTCATATACCTATACAGTGGAAGCATGAAAAAGTTCATCACTTTTGTCTAAACTTTTTTCTTTTTTTCTAATAAAAAAATTTGTTCGAAATTATTTTGTTAATGGCATAGTTCCAATAAGTAATATGTACAGGCTAAAAGGTATTGTATTGAACTTAAGAATTTACAAGCCTATTCTTTCTTCTACTGTACTATACCTCGTCATGCTTCCATTTTTAAAAGGTTAAATCGAGTATTATAACTCTTAAGGTCTATATTTGTGTGTTCTCGTGGTTACACAATACCAAAGGTATATTTCGTCAATAACATTGTGTTCGTCTAGTGTCTTAAACTCACCGGTTCGTGTGATGGTATGACGCACCGCACAACGGTAATGTACTTCGTATATGTGTTTGTGTATTCGTTCGTGGATTAGTGGCGGCTAATGGGTTGTTTGTGAAACAAATGTTTGTCACTAATGTGTTTGTTTTTATGTTTCTTTTTTAAATTTATTTTGGAGGCAAGTTGCCAAAGTATGGCTACTTTTTTAACTCTTAAATAAAGTTGTAACAGAGGGAACGTTATTAAGCTATTGCATAGTTTCTATCGCGGGCCTTGAGCGTGGAGACCGAATCCAGAAATTCCGTAACGAAAATAACCTAACACCTCCCACTTCGACCGGCACAGCGGTGATACTTTAGAGTTTTGCCAGCTATCGATGAATAGCAGAACTTTTTTAAAGGTAGGGTGTTCCTTTGACAAGACAAAGGGGGGAGACCAGTTTTATAATTGCATTGGAGGTCCCTTCAAAATCCCTCCCCTTCTCTCCCCTCCACTTTTTTCATTTATCCCCCCTTTGATTTTCTCGGTACCTAGAGCACTTGGACTCCTATGTTTGGGTTTGTCTGAACCGGGAAAAGGAGACGAACAATCTGGCCCCTACAGATTTTTTTTTGAAAAGTATCGTAACATGTAACAACACTTCAGTCTGTTTTTCTAAAGGAGGGGGGGGGGGGTATTTTCGAGCGATGACTTATTTTTTTATGATTGCATTTAGGTCCGCCCAAAATACCTCCCCATCACCCTTCAACTTTTTTCATTTATCCTCCCTTTGATTTTCTCGGTTCCTGGAGCAGTTGGACACCCCCTCGTCTGAACCGGGAAAAGGAGACGAACAATCTGGCCCCTACAGATTTTTTAGCTGGTACCCGCGACTTTGTTCGTGTGGAGTTTGAAAACACTGCCTTAGTGGGTTCGATTCCGGAGCCGGGCAAAATTCTATAGTGTTTTCCTGAGATAATTATTTAATACTAGTTGGTACCCGCGACTTTGTTCGCGTGGAATTTATAAACGCTGCCTTACTGGGTTCGATTCCCGGCCGGGCAAATTTCTATAGGGTTTTCCTGAGATAATTATTTAATACTAAGTTGATAAAAAATGCTATGCAATAGCTTTACCGCGGCAGTCCCCGAGTGCCACACGTCTTTTTTTTTATTCCACATTACTTACTTCTTTGTTAAGTTCTAGTGACGTGAAAATTTTATTACTAAAAGTATTCTTAAAAAACTTATTAAGACATTCATTTCAGAGGATTGCGGTGGTCACACTTCTGGTACTTTATTCTACCACGCTTAAACCACTCTTAAAACATTATAAATATGAAAGTTAAAGAAAATAGAGTGTAGAAACATAAATATTCAGAAGCCCGTACTTTACCACTGTATTTACGCTTTACTTATTATTGTAATAATTAATTAATTAATCATGGATTTATAAATGTGTAACATTTGTCGCTCATTCACCCATTGCTAGCCACACAGCCAGGTATATGTATGATCAATGTGGCGCGTCGCGGAGTCACCGAGGTAAGCACCGCTCGCCGATGCATGCAGCCCGAATTTGCACTTTATGTCGTTTACGTAGAGATCTTTATCATAAGGAGTTTTCAGTGCGATCGGTGTGCAAACTAGTCTTAGAATGATACAATTTTGGATACTTTAAAAGTTTACAAATATTGCTGATTTGACCGATGACGTTTTGGGCCTTTTTTCAGAGTTAATTTCATTATTTATTTAGTAGTTTAGTGGATTCAACTTAAACGTATCTTGGTTCTTATCTGTATTTACATATACATACTAGTGATGTGTCTTTATAAATGTGTATACTCCGCGAATAAGGACATCAAGTTTTTTTTAATGGATGCCTATACTCGTGACCTCAGAACGATAGTTAGCGTTCAGTTCTAAATTTCGATTGGCACTCAATATTTAGTATTCGCAAAATACATATACAATTTCAATATTCAAGCTACAAAACAGTTATTCAATTTCGGATATTCGCGATACGGATATGGATGTTCAGCACATCACTAATACATCTATACTAATATTATAAAGCTGAAGAGTTTGTTTGTTTGTTTGTTTGTTTGAACGCGCTAATCTCAGGAACTACTGGTCCGATTTGAAAAAATATTTCAGTGTTAGATAGCCCATTTATCGAGGAAGGCTATAGGCTATATATCATCACGCTAAGACCAATAGGAGCGGAGTACCAATGAAGAATGTTTCAAAAACGGAGAAAATATATTACTATTGAGAGACGCAGACGAAGTTGCGCGGGTCAGCTAGTAATACATATAAATGTTTCAATAAAGGTCAATAGAAACGCTCCCGTTATCGGCCCTTTGTATGGTCTGATAGGGAATGTCTATGAGGATCATATCTCCACAAAATATGTATTTTCAAGTGAAATCAGCAATATTTAATAGGATAGTATACAATTACATATGCACAATAACTGCAATAATCGAATAAAAATTTATTCTTTAAAGAATAAATGTTAAGTATTTTTGACACCGCGATAAATATGCGATATGTATTCGTAGTGAAAACTCTATTTGGTATGTACACCATAATTGTAGAAAATACTAATTAGTTATTAGAAATACTTACTAATATTAAGTTAAGTATAGTAACTGTAACACTTGGTTTTGGTGGGTCTTTACTCGGGTGATGGATGTCACTTGATTCATTTTGTTTATGTATACCTTATATAATCATAATTCTATATGCATTTAAACTTATACGAATCACAAAAACTAATTCGCGTTTAGATTAAAAATATAGTATGTCATCAATGCATGTTTTAAGCCACCAAAAACTAATTAATTTATTTGCTTTCTTTATTTTCAAAGAACGTCATATATATAAGTATAAACATAAAGGCAATTAACTTCAACTATTAATCTAATTCATTCATGGTTTTTTTTTCAAATCAAAACCTGTCATACTATAAGTTAATGACAGTATGTACCAAAATATAAAATAACATAATTTTTTTTTGCAAAATAAAATTGATTATCGCAATATAGTGCTAAAATTATAAATTGTTTATATTGTGGAATTTTGGCGCCAAAACTAGGTAAACAGGTTTGACATACACCCAAAAAAGGTTTATATAAATTGAGAGCCTCTACTCTACTGTATTAAAATCGATTTAAAAATTAAAAAGTGGTGGCAATGATCTCCAGAAAGCGGCAAGCGGTGTTATTTTGTCAATTTTTATATATATATTTAACATATACATAAATATAATGCATCACGCAACTAACTACTAACATAATTTAACTTTCTACGCGTAGCACCCGCATCGTGAGATATGCACACAAATCTTAAATAAAAAAATATTATTACAAAAAATATCTAAAATATCACCCTTAATTTAAAATAATATATAAGTCTATTCTCACGCTATCGAATTATTAATATTTATTTACTAACATCACTTTATGTTTGTGTGTGTGTGTGCATGTCGAGTGTACATGTCACGTGTGTGTAGTGTGTGTTCAAGTTACATTTTGGTAAGGTCAGCAAAAGATGGTTCACTTTTTATAGGGTTGTTTTATTGATCTTTATGTGGGAAGTCCTAATATAATGTAATTAACAAATAGGGAGGTTAACTTTTAATTCAGTAGCAAAAATAAAAAATATTATAAATATACTGTTTGTATGACAAAACATTAAAACAGTTAATGATCAGAAATATCTTTCTGAAATATACTTCGTGCTACTCCATTGTGATCGCATGATCATATCCCTTGATCATCCATATATTTCATTAAAAACATCACCAGGGAAAATAGTTTTTTAGTAAATAACTAACCTCATTATAGGTATACATAGTTTTGTTTTCTAAAAAATATTATAAATTGGCAGCCACCCACAAAGAACGAGAATCCTTTTATATGTAGCACATTAGAGGAGAAATCCATTTTTAGTAGTATCGAGAACAGTTGACTGCACGGATGGCGTAGTTGTTTAAGCGGTCGCCACGCCGCTTTCTACTGTGCCGAGTGTTTTGAGTTCAAACCCCACATGGGACGACACTTTGTGTGATCCACAAATTGTTGTTCTGAGTTTGGGTGTTATTTGTATCCGTTTCATGTATGCTTGTAAAGTTCCCCGCGACACAGGATATATTCCTAATGCGGAATTGGCTTTTAAAAAAAAGAAGATAAATTATTTCAACGAGTCAACTTGCAGTTAGTTTTGCCATTTAAAAGGTTATATTTAATAGGTATAAAGGTTTTTATTTATAATGAGAGAGGAAAAACATACAGATTCAGTCTATTTTAGGGTCTTGAACCATGCTTTGCTAAAAAAAAGTGTTTTCATCTTTGTGTATACTATAACTAACCTAAAAGTGTCTTCTTACTATGTTAATTATTTACTCATACCTTTGTGTAAAGAAAAATATTATGTACATTATTTATTTAATATTGTTGTACGTACTTATATTCTATTTAATGTACCTATCCCTATACTCATATAATTCTTCATTTACACTTCACTTTCGAAATAACATTGCAACATTTTGATGTTGGTGTTCCAATTAAAAAATAATAAATATTTGAACAGTAACAAGCGCCTTCGATGTCGCTAAAAACTAAATTGTGTGCAAACTCTTGATGTGTTGCATGTTTTGCGCTTACATTCTGACAGTTGACACCTGTAAGAGTTGACGTTAACTGTCAAAGTTGGTAGTCAGCTGACAGATTGCTAAGTGTAACGACTGATTATTATAAAATTTAAAAATATTTGTTAAAGTAAATCTTTATGAATGACTTGTTCATTATACTAGTAACTTTTTACAAATAAAAATAATAAGGCAATAGATATTTTAAAAAGTGAATTAATTTTTTTAATGATCAGTCATTGGTGTACGCTTGTGACGAATTCCCGACATATAGAATTCCTTCATTCATATAGAAAATATAAACGATACAGAACAAAGATTAGTGTAAATGAAAAACTTTGCACTATATGTTGAAACCGATAATACTTTTTATGTACCTATTTTCGAGAACCAACTTAAAAAACAAAGGTCTCGAAAATCGTACACCTCTATTACATTATTGAATGTATCGTAATGTGACACGAGCAAGCCTAAAGGCCTCGACACATTTCTAGCAGTGATCCTATATTCGGGGATAAGTCAGTGTGCGCTAGCAATGTGTCGGGTGTGGCAGTGGGACCGTGAGGCCGCCCTCAAGTCGCGCTCCGTCGGCAAGGCGGCAAGGCTCCTCGGCGCTGACACAGCGAGGCTACACGACGACACGCATCACCAACAGATCGTATGTATACAAATTTAGATGTAGATTACGACTCAGGTAAATAAAACCTACTTTGAGTTATTAAGATTAAACTATTATGAAAGTGTTGTTAATTCTATGTTTAAGTTTCTAACCTTAGTTGATGTCCGAGTAATGTTTCTTTAAAACTGAGAGTAAGACAAAACTGTATTTAGAACAGAAACAGTAAATAAATAAATATTTATCAGATGATGATATTTTAATTAGTATTACTTTTTTATATCATTTGTGTAAATCACCTTTCGCGAGTCGCCAAATCGATTCCGGCTACATTTATAATTGAAACATTTAATAAAATATACTTATTTTCATGCAACGCGTATATATGCTTCTGCTGTTCCATTATTTATTAAATTAGAAATTGTACATTTAAAATCGACTTAGATATTCTGCTAAGATATAATCTTTTCTAACGGAAACATAAACTGACATTACAAAGGCTTTTATTATATTATTTAGTAAAGATGTGTGAGCCGAGATTTAATAGCTATAATAACAACAATGTACGAGTAGAATACCCATTTTGGTTATCCGAAGTTTCGATCTAATTGTACCGAGTTCACGTGTAGTCTATACATGAACATTGTTGGTACAAATCGCGTTTAAGCCTCGGTTTACATAATAATATGTAAGTTATATATACAATCGCGAAAGTTTAAATACAATTACTTCAATACACTTCTATTTATATACTGACTGCAGTAAAATACTGCGTGTATGTGTAGAAACCATGACTATACGCAGGTTAATGAAAATTTTAGATGCTCTTTCTTAATTTATCACGTGCAAATATGGTTATCTGTTAAAAGTGTAACTGAGGCTACAGCTATCAAGATAATTCTGAAATGTATACTACATTGCTTGAAAGAGCTTAAAGTAATAATACTCTCAGTAAATGAGCTTTAATTATTTCCTGATATATTTAATACAGTCGTCTAAGAAGTATACACCAGTTTTCTATAATATTTATATTATGCCATAATATATACATATATGTAGTGTAATCCTAACTCTGGTTTCACGCAGCCGCATTCACGATTAAAAGGACAGCGTAAGTATAATCGGGCATTTAGTAAATTTTTATATTATGTGTCTTATAGGTAGATACCAAAGCTGTAATGCATAATAGAGAATACTTTTGTTAATTTTCCGTTTTTATAATATTCTGTTTACATAGTTACGTTTACGTTATTTCAGCCACGCTTGTACCGTTTTTTCTTAGTGGTTATTTGTATCGTAGTCGTATATGATAATTAAATAATCAAAATAAAGATTTAATGAAGATTTACAAAAATAAATTTTTTATCCAGAATTGAAATTGGTGCCTAAAACATATGAAAAAAAGCACTGAACATATTAAATTGAAATTTTTACAATTTTGCCTTTCAAAAAATTACTACGCCACCTCAGTTTGTAGGTAATGTCAGAAAAAAGGTCACACATAAATCATCTCCAATTACGCGACTTCCTCCAAAATATTTGTTCTTGTTTTGTTCTGTTCTGTACTAGTTTCTTTTTTTTTGTTTATTACTATAACACAATTCGGTTCTAGATTTTCGTCAACACAAGTTGATTTTTGAAGAGACTCGATTTCAAACGAGTAAGGGCCAATAAACGACCAGCATATTTCAGAAACTGTGTTTATACGTTTTAAAATAATTATATTTAGATATCCGTCAATTTACATGTCCACATTAGTATAGTCGTTTTAATATTACTTTTTTATCAGTGTGCATATCCTGCGGGTATTTTCCCATTAGGTACTTGTAAAGATATCATTTTGTTAATATGTATCTCACATATTGTAATCAATAAGCATTTATAGGTGGAGCTTTGTGTGGAAACATTGGGCGAAGTGATGTCTCTTCTCGCTCGCGACGATGTCGGCCCGGTCGAAGCCGATAGGGGTGATCTAGCGAAGAGACTGCTACCTACGGTATTGAAGACTGCGGCTAGTATGCTTCAGGATCGAAAGAGCGATAGAGACAGCAACACCGCGGATAACGCTTTGTTGGTACGTTTTTATTCATCATTTTTTATTGAAATATGTTTATTTTAATTCCTACTATGTTCTACTAGGATATTGCAATATAAATACATTATAGTATGACATCAGCACATTAAAACAATATCCAGTTTGTATTTGACAACAAAAACAATGTTGTCACCTATAATCTATTTCAATCATGTCATGAAATTAATAAAACTGCGTTGACATGATGTTTGCCGTCCGTTCAATTGAATTAAGGGCCGTTTTTTTTAATCCTCAGATAACACTGTGTCGTTTTGAGCCTCAGGTAGTGATATTATCTGTAGAATAGTGAGTTTGACGTTTGTGTATTTCCATTAATTCTCTTTGTATTTGAAGTGGTAAAGTTTATAGTCAAGACAGCCTGAAACATAGGAGTCCCCTACCATGGGTACCCTATACCTATACCATATGCCATTGCGAGTGCTCAGAGGAATTGTTCGGACTAATACCAGCCGCAACTTGCCGCCATCGTTCCACACGACAAAATTTTCATTTTCATCCTGGATAGTTGGCGCTTCACAATTGTGCCCTTTTCGAGACATTTTTTGCCCTGCACAACCAATCTGTGGAACGGGTTATCGTCTGCGCTAATTCCGGACCGATACGACCTTCAAACATTCAAGAAAAGAGCGCACTCCTTCCTAAAAAGCCGGCAACGCGTTTGTGACTCTTGAGTTGCAGACGTTTATGGGCGGCGATGGTCACTTTCCAACAGGTGACCCGTCTTCTCGTCTGCCCCCTCTAACTTAAAAAAAAGGCCTAAGAAGCTGAATTTGCCCTGAACGTTAGGGGGGCTATTATTTTATTTTGGGGCCCAGAATGAATAAATATGACAACAAAATATAATTTTAAGTATGTTATTTTTTGTTACTTTTTTATACTGATATAACATAATTATTGTTTTAAGTATATATTACAGCAATTTGCAGCGATGTTTATTTACTATTTCTTCATTAATTTTATTATTATACTAGGAGGGGTACAGAAAAACAACAACTGTGTTACTTTCATGAAAAATCAAGTTTTATTGTTAGGAACATTAACCTCAACTTGGAAACCTATCACATATGAACTTAAGATAGGATAATGATAATTTTATATATTAAATCACAAATTATCTCAGTCCGATATCTCTTTATATGGTTAAGTTTACCACTTTGTTACCTAATTTAGATTTAAGCAATTGTAATTTTAAAAAATATTAAAAAATAATAGCAATTTGAACTCACTATTTAAAGAGACAATTAAAATGTTTCAAATAAACAATAAACTCTTAAAATTAGGATATCTGAAACAGTAGTTTTAGTTTTATACCTTCAAACGTTTCCAGAAAAAGAGGGACAAAAAAGCAACGCAGTGGTTCGATACGTTACATAGTGGTAAACTTTTCACGTCCCAACATGTTTTCTTCACCTTAAACTAATAGAAACTTAATGCAAACAAAAAAAAAGCATTTCAAAATAAACAAAACTTTTCTTTAAACAAAAAAAATGAAACTTCTCAAATTAACAATTTATAAACATAAAAAAAAACCTTAGTCTTTTCAGTCACATTCGTAACATACACGTCTAACTTTCTTAATTTTTTTAGGATTGGGTACTATTTCTGAAATATTTTCATATGGTTCGTATGAAACATCTTTTCTAACTTGTTTTGAACCTCTTCCCCGAATCGTCAACTGATTTCAAAAACATAATCTTGATCTCTCCTTCGTCGTCAACATCACTTTGGGCGACACCTACATAAAAGTATGTTTTGTCCTTGTCAGTGGAAACTTTGACTGTAACGTAAACACCCATGGATACTTTTGATGGATGTAAATTTTCCTTTTCAATTAATTTTCGTTCATCTATATTAGAAACTGAAGCTTCTTGTTCCTTTTTAAGTTGAATCTTTGAAAGAGGCTTATCATCTGAGCTCCAAGTCGAAGAATAAACCATTTCGTAATAAGACCTCTTGGGATTGGTCACAAGATTAGTTATATCAGTTAATACTTCTTTAAAGACAGGAATTGGCTGATTAGTTTTAGGTGTTAAGCAGCCGCAAAAACCCCTTTCAAAAAAGCAACTAAGATCGCGGTAGTGCAATTCTCCTGCATTTTCTGTGAAAACTTAATGTACCTGCATTGTACCCCGGAGAGGGATAATGTCCTTGGGAACAGTTTGCTCTACCTTTGCAATATCGGTATTAGTTATGAAATGTAGCTGAATTTTGCTGGCGTCCTTTAAAGCTTGAAAAAATGTCTCTGCGTCAGGAATGTCTAAGCCAAAAGCAACTTTTTGGTCAGCTGTTCATTTAAGATAGCCACCAACACCATCAGCCGCACCCCTTCCGTGACCTGCTTCGAAAAAGTTCCAGGTAATGCGATCAAAGTTATACTCTTTGAATGTTCTTGAGCAGATGAAATGAAAGTTTATCTTCTGCCTATATTGTGTCGCAGGACCGTCGGAGAAGACATGGATTGTTTTTATGTGTGGATGATTAGCTTTTAATGTACTTAGAACTGGGGTTTTTTTTTAGCTTGCTAATACCGAGACATTCCTGCAACATATCGCCTTTCATTTTTGATTTTGTATGATACTCCCTTCAAAAATGCGACGTATTGTAAATCGATCTCTTAGAGTCTTTATTCTGGAGTAATGGTCTCTGATGGCATTAGATAAAGTGGCGTACTTTTTGTCTCCGTCTCCGCTCTCCGACTTTTTTGCTTTGTTCTTTTGTCTTTTACATCTTTTTTTGTACTTATTATATTTATTTTTCAGCTTATCATTTTCTGCCTTCAATTTTATATTTTGCCTATATAATGTCGATCTGTCTCTTCTTACTTACCAACTTATTTTGTCTTGTCGTGTTCCTCTAGAGCATGGAGAAAGGGGAGTTCCTGATCGTGGCGTCGAAGCTGGTGTATTATTCAAAATGACCTGTGCAATTTTTTGGCGCTCTTTACGTTTCTTGTTTGCATACTTCCATTTATGCTTTATAGATCTATGTTCTCTCTCTGTCATGTCTTTTACAAGTTTTTTATTAGCGTGATATCTTGCAAGATGCTTTTGTTTAGCTTCAGCATTTTTGACCGGGTCCTGTTTTACTTTTTCCCTATAACGTCGTTGTTTTTCAGCCAGTGTTGAAGCCATTATGTTGGGAATAGTATACTGTAACGAATCAATCTAAAATTAAATAGTTTTTAAATATAAAATTATTAAATAATGAGTAAAAACCTTAAGGTTTAACCACTGCGTTACTATAGCCACACCTGCGTTACTTCTCGTAGTAACGCAGTGTGTTGGTAACACAGTTGTAAAAATTATACATATTCTAACGTTTCAGCCATATAGTAATAAATTAAAAATATTTTTTAATGCCATTCAAAAATGTACACATTCTCATACAGATGAATTTAATAAAATTATCAAATATCTAAAAAACTCACCGTTTATCACCCGTAACTCAGCGGTTTCACAATAAACACACGCACCTCTCCTGCCGACTCTCGCGCGACTGGCTCGACCAATTCTAAGGATACGCACTCCCCCTGCATCCCGCTAGCAATTGTTGACGAAACAAACGAATTTTGACGTTGAGGTATACAAAAAGCTAAGTTAAAGACTTATTTTCGTATGATAACATAGTGTTCGTGATTTTTCACTTAGCCACGGGGACAAGACAAGGAATGTTTCGTAAATTAGAAAATTCCAAAGGGAAATGATACTTATCAGTGTTGTAGTAAAGTTCAAACAACTGCTTATTACTATAGATATTCAAATTTAATAGCTATTTAAATATTTAAATTTAATTTTAGTGTTTTTGAAGTGAGTTGCTTATAGGGACAGCGAAATTTTGTAGGGAATACACCTGCGTTTCTCAGAAATACAACTGAGTTACCGTGATTTAAGAAAAAATATAACTTGTTCTGTTCATTTATTGTAATTCTCTTAGACGGGTATATTATCGCTAACGTACTAAGAGTGTTTTTATTTTAGAAATCGTTGTTTGCTTTAATAATAATCATTTTTGTTTGAGAGAGACCTGTTATTGGAACCAAAATAAAATAATAGCCCAGGGATAGCATTATAATGAAGTTGTGAAAAGTCCCATGTGTGCAAAAATATGTAATGCAAAATTTCAACACACTGTTTTATCTGACACACAAGCAATAATAATAATAATATTTCGGACATCTGACACCCAACGCCACCTAGTTTCAAACTAAGCAGAGCTTGTACTTTGAAAATTTGATTGACTAATAGCAATGACAAGAAATAGTAAAGAATGACAATGCTTTTGATCCTTATCTAACCTGTTACTAACTGTATAGCTGTATCACTGTTGCGCATGCTTACAGTGAACTTAGCTATGAGAGACCATCAAGTAACTATCTGTCGGTTTACACCCGATTGCAAAACCGAAAAAGTTTATTCGCTAACAGCTAGATAGATAAATTTATTCAAAAGTTAGTAATCTGACAGTATAACTAAGGATTGAAAAACCGGCTCTTAATCAGAAATTATAATTCAAGTTTAACAATATAATACGTCGAAAAGAATATGCTCTTTACGTATGCCTGAATATTATGGCCCTATGTTCCACAAGGTTTTTTTAACATCCAAGAATAAATATACTATTAATAGAATATTATAGTTACTAACATGTGACCAATCCTTTCTCTACTCTATGTAAGTGAATAGTGCGTCTATTTGATAACAAAAATTGACAGGTTCTTATAGTGGGTTATTTACGGTTACGGTTTGAGGTAGAAGTCTACCTGTGCCTGCACGTGTCTACTGCAGGATGTTTATTCCTATATTTTATCCTAACTGCGCAGGTACACTTGCACAAGCTTGCCTCTCCAGCAAACCATAGCTGTATTTCCAACATTACAAATTAAGTATCGAACTGGAACTTTACGTATTTGTTGCACTGCACGGATGGCGTAGTGGTTTAAGCGGTCGCCACGCCGCTCACTACTGTGGGTCCGATCCCCACATTTGACGACACTTTGTGTGAGGCACAAATTGTTGTTCTCAGTCTGGCAGTTCTTTGTGTCTGTTTTATGTATGTTTGTAAAGTCCCCCGCGACACAATATATATTCCTAATGCTGTGGGAGTTGTCTTTTAAAAAAATGTTTAAATTTAGAATTTCATTAAAATCTCGACTATTGGGGATAAACCTATTGCGTCATCGTACTGACTAAACTCTTATCAATTTTAGCGACGAATAATCTCCGTTCTCCTGGACATGGTGCGGCAAATGTCTGATTATCAGTATTCAATGGTAGTTCAGGCTCTCGAAGTTGAGAATGCTGGCGGTCCGGGAAGCTTAGTGAACGATGCCCTATCGTTGTTTTTGGCTCTACTACAGCGGCCTGTGTTCAGACCCCATTGGGCTGATATGTTGCATCTGCAACATTATGTCATGTTACATGCTTTGCGGTAAGTCTTTTTTATTTTTTATATGATTTAGGATAGGATTTACATTTAGGATTATGACTTTTGAAAACTTAGAGAAAGCGCCAATGGATAAAATAATGGGTTTAATCGTATAATCTTAAATACTTCGTTTGCGTACTACAAATATAAAGGAGGGTTTAAACACATTAAAGCTTTTATTATTTGCAACGTTTTTTTTTTGGTTTAACACTTTCTTGGTAAGAAAAGAATAGTAATTTATTCGCAGGAACAGTAATCAAAGTTCTTAAGTCAATCTTACATAAAGTACAAAGTGTTCCGCCTTGGATAAAGCAATCAAATATTACATTGATTATACAGTTACAAAATTAACATCAATTAATAAGAAAATGTCATGAATTCAAAACTAAAATGTCTAATAATTAAAATCTATACAATCTATACTTATCTATACAAATAAATAAAGTTGAAGAGTATGTTTGTAATGTCAAAATAATAGGTTTTTTCATGCTCACACGGTTGTATGCAGGATAACTATGCCTGATAACCAGTTTTTTTTCTATCTGTTCCTGATAATCTCCTAAACGGCTGTACCGATTTTGATAATATTTTCTACCAGGTAGCTGTCTATATAAGGAGTGACTTAGTATATTTTTGCTCTCAGAAAAACTAAAAATAAAATTTGCCCGGTCCGGGAATCGAACCCACCAAGGCAGCGCTTTACAAATTGCACGCGAAAGAAGTCGCGGGTACCAGCTAGTAAAAAATAGAACTAGATCTTGCCAATAGGTTTCAATTGTTTTTAAATGACTACTACATAATGTCAAAGAGATAAAAAAATACTTTCAAAATCTTGTATTCATTATTTTATGATTCATAAAATCGTTAAGCGTGTTTTGTCGGTTTTTTCAATTGTATTCTAAATTGTCTCTGAGGTAATTCTATATAAACATTTCAGATTATTAGCAAAAACGCTTCGCGAACGTCTCCTGTCTGTAGATGACAGCGAAACTGACGCTGTAACAACAATCCACTTGATGTGTCGAACTTGGTTCGAAGCTGGCTCGGCACTAGCTACGTCACAGTCCCTTCAGTTGGAAACGTTACCAGCGGCGAGGAAGCAGCGACTCACTGCGCTTTATGGAGATATAAGGAGAGGAGTCGCCGATTGTCTGAGTGAAATGTGGCACAGCTTAGGTAAGACATTAAAAAATAAATCTTGCTTTTCGCTTTTATTGATATTGATTTTCTCTTAGGCACTTCTAAAATATTAACTTAGGGTGATGAAAAAAACAGTTACGACTTCAAAACTGAAAATAAAGAATTTCTTATGTAAACTTACAACCTCTAATTCACCCCTTTATGTGTAATTTTTGCAAAACCCTGATACAGTTATCCATTTATTTGTGACCAGAAGTGTATGAAATTTCGTGTTAGTGACTTTGAAAATTACGAACTTCCATACCACCGTTTATCCCTTATTTTGCCTTCTTGGGGGTAAAAATTTCGAAAAATGCTTTCTCAATGGGTGCTTACAACATAAAAAGCGTTAGTTGCCAAAATTCATCATCATCATCATCATCAGCCTATCGCAGTCCACTGCTGGACATAGGCCTCTCCCATTGCACGCCACTTAGATCGATTTTGGGCTTCTCGAATCCAGCTCCTGCCAGCCATCTTGCGCAAATCGTCACTCCACCTGGCCTGTGGGCGTCCTACACTACGTTTGCCGAGACGCGGTCTCCACTCAAGAACTCGTTTTCCCCAACGGTTATCGGTTCTGCGGCTAATATGGCCAGCCCACTGCCACTTCAGCTTGCTGATCCGGTACGCTATGTCGGTGACCTTAGTTCTCTGCCGAATCACCTCATTTCTGATGCGATCCCTTAGAGAAACGCCGAGCATAGCCCTTTCCATAGCACGTTGAGCGACTTTGAACTTGTGGACCAGCCGTACCGTAAGTGTAAACGTTTCAGCTCCGTATGTCATGACGGGTAGGACGCACTCATTAAAGACTTTCGTCTTAAGGCACTGTGGGATCGACGATGAGAAGACTCGACGTAGCTTCCCAAACGCTGCCCAACCCAACCGAATTCTTCTGTTCACCTCGTCCTCGAAGTTGTTTCTACCTAACTGCAATGTCTGCCCGAGGTACACATAATTTTGAACAACTTCGAGAACGGCACCGTGTACCGCAATCGGTTCCGGTAGTACATGTTCGTTGAACATGACCTTGGTTTTATCCAAGTTCATCCGTAGGCCGATGCGTACAGAAGTGTCAGATAAGTCATTCAGCATTTGCTGTAGGTCCTGCAACGTCTCTGCCATGATGACGATGTCATCTGCAAATCGCAAGTGAGAGATGTATTCGCCATTGATATTGATGCCACGCCCTTTCCAGTGCAGCGTCTTGAACACGTCCTCCATTGCATTTGTGAACAATTTCGGGGAAATAACGTCCCCTTGTCTCACTCCTCGATGCAATGGTACGGGCCTTGTTTGCTGATTCTGTACTTGGACGGACATGGTGGCGGCTTCGTAGAGACATCTCATCACTTGGATGTATCGCCAATCTACTTGGCAACGCTGCAGGGACTCCAGAACAGACCAGATCTCGATCGAGTCAAAGTTGCCAAAATTGCAAGTTTGTAACCCTAGCGGTTTAGATTTTGCGTTGATGAATCAGACAGTCAGTAATTTTACCTAACTACCTAACCTAGGACAATTAGGATATTGATTGTGATAGTTCTCTGTGAAGTGATAATACATTTTTATGTTCAGGTTATCACAAACGCTCGTTCATTCCGTGTCTGGTGGGGCCGTTTCTTGAAGTAAGTTTCTTATGTGACGAGGAGGTGCGAAACACTACAATACCGCTGTTCTTCGACATGATGCAGACAGAATACAGTCATAGCGTTGTTCACGGTGACGTAGGTGAGTTCAAATCGTATATTGAAAATGTTATGTGAGGCATTTATAAACGTAATCTACATTATATTATGAAAAAATTGCATGGAATAGTAAAATATTATTTGTTATGCTTAATGTGTTGTTCAAAGTACTTAAGTAAGTTGGTTTTATTGTGTAATCACTATTAAATTTAGGTTCACTTCAAAGGTTTCTGTAAAACACAGAAGAAAACATTGAGTGATCTGAAAAATATACACGGTGATTTTGAAAGCGTTTTGGAAAAGAAAATTTTGAATTATTTATCAGTAACAGAAGCTTTATATAAAGTTAATTTAATAAAATATATATATATATATATTTTATCATCAAAGTCGATATTCATATCGTTTACAGAGAAAAAGTGAGAACCAGTAGTAGGGCTTCAATCACACGTAGGTAAATACTACGAAAAGAAATACTATGCGTTTTAATATCGAGTCACATAAAATCGTATTCGCCAATAAAAACAAAGCTACCGAGTTGCGCCGGAGTCGTCCAACCAATGACGTCTGCCCCGTAGGCGCATGCGCGGGACTCACCTGTAATCGTGAGGCGTCCTTCGCTTTCAGTCGGTCAGTAATACCATAACATCGTGACGGCACGCTACATTGATTAGCGCTAAAATGAGTCGACAGTACGAATTTTCAAACGTGGAATACTTCTTGGCAATGGTACAGCTGTACGCTACTGCCAACTACAACTTGGAAGAGGCTCGGCGTTTGTATTCCCAGCCGGAGCATTTAAATGCACTACGGCTACCTGGAATTGAAAGCCCTCAAATTCCCTCCACACCTACCATCTTGGCTGCAACCCAACGTCTTCTCGACCACGGACAATTTCATGCGCCTACTCACGCGCAAGGTCAAGGACGTTTAAATTATTATTCGCCGGAGTGTAGTGCGTGCATACCTGGACAATGAGTTTAGTGATCGGTGGATAGGTCTAGGAGGGCCAGTGCCTTGGCCACCTAGAAGCCCGGACTAAGACGTGTTTATACACGGGAATATGAAAGCCGCGATAATTCGCATTGCGATAGTGGACGCTTTTGATAAAGTGAAAAGTGATAGAGACACATTAAGAAAATTAAAAAACAATTGCATTAAACGTGGACGTTTGTGTATTGAATGCAGCGGACTCCATTTTGAGCAGTTGCTTCGATACAGAGAAGTGTAAATAGTGTAAATAGGTATGTAAGTTAATTATTCTGTAGATAGCTCCGATTTTTTTAATACGCCTGAAATATTTATACCTACAGTCCGTTGATAAATTGATTTGTTGTGAAAAGAACAATCGTGGTTAATAATCGAAAAGAAGTTTAAATAAAATAGGTATTTCCGACGGTCCTAAGCCCGTGTAAAGTATGAAGGACAAATTGGAGTCTATCTACGTAAGTACTCGCTAGCTCGCGCCTATAGGTATACTTTTATCGGCTGCTGTTAGCGTCAGCGGTGCGCAGCGGCTGCCGAAACACCCACGGATGTGTTTTATTCATATAAGAGAATTAATGGTCAGTCCATTACAACTTTCCAAGTCGATCGAGTAAAAACGAAACTTTTTTTTAGACAACATTACAATTGATTTAATCATTTTTATTGGTACTATAGATGATTCCAAATTAAAATGTTTCGTTTCCAAAAAGCCTATAAAATCACCGTGTATAGTATGTAAATAACATTCGTGATCAGGACAGTACTTAGGTTCGTTCGGTCGACACGTCATGATAATCACACTTTCTAAAGATCTTTTTAATTTTTCGCATCTGAAAGATATCGTTCGATAAGTAAAGTAAAAGTGTGGTGCGGTCCAGGCGACAGCCCGCTGAAGGAGCTGGAGAGCGAGATGATCGACAAGGTGGACGTGCTGGTGGAGCGCGGGTACGGCGACGCGGCGTGGCGCGCGCGCTTCGTGTCGCTGTGCGGCGCGCTGTGCGGCGCGGCGGGCGGCGCGCTGCGGGGCGCGGCGGCGGCGCTGGTGGCGGCGGCGGCGCGCCAGCTCGACGCGCTGCTGCAGTACCGCGCCGCCGCGCGCCGCTCCGCCACGCCGCACCGCATGCACCTCACCACCTGCGTGCTGCACTTCTACCGCCAGATCGAGCGCCCGCACATGTACATACGGTCAGTCACCTCTGCGATATACATGCTAGCGTATGCGACCGCCGTGCTGAGGTCTCGGGTTCGTTTCCCGGGTCAGGCCGAATGATCCTACAATCTGCAAATATTTGTTTCAGAGTTTGGGTGTTTTCTATATATAATATATTAGCATGTACCTATTAGTCAATCTAACTTTCATAGTATAATATGTATGTATTTAGAAATATATAAGTATGTTTATCAGCGGTCTGGTGACCATAGTACAGGCTCTGCCTAGTTTGGGATCAGACGGCCGTGTGTGAGTATGTGAGATATCTATTATTATTATTATAGTACAAGCTCTGCTTAGTTTGAAACTAGATGGCATTGTGTTAGTCATAAAATATTATTATTATTATACCAGAGACTTCATCGAAGTGAGCTAACGATATTTTTTGTCTTTTGCAGTAAAATTTTTGCCTATTTATTTCATTATATTGTATGTAGCGTGTGTGGGTGGGGTGCATCGTTTGTATGAGCACAACATTTTTTTTCTTTCACATATACAGATTTTTTTATTCTGGAAGACGAATAAATTCGACTTAACTAAATTCCGAAAAGTATCTCAGTGTGTTGGCCATGTCGGTTTCGAAATTATTAATTTCAGTGTAGTACATACTAAATTTACTCGGTCAAAATTCAGAAACAAAAATGACTAATAGCTATCATCTCGTAAAATTACGAGGGCGGGTCAATAAGTCCGTGACTTTTGGAATAAAACACAGATTTTTTTATAAATAAATCATTTTATTTTTCAACGTAGTCTCCTTTGAGCTCTATACACTTTGTCCAACGCTTCTCCAATTTTTTTATCCCTTCCAAAAAATATGATTTGTCGAGGTCCTCAAAATAGGCCTTTGTTTGCGAGATGAATTCATCATTGGAGTCAAATCTTTTTTCTTTCAAGGAAAAGAACTTTTTTCTTTCAAGGAAAAGAACTTTTTTCTTGGCCAAATGAGGTCGTTTTTTTTTTCAAATCGTCATTGAAGCGGTCCAATAAGTTGGCATAATATTCCCCATTGATTGTTCTTCCCTTTTGAAGGTAGTCAATGTGGATTATCCCGCGTGGATCCCAAAAGACAGTCGCCATAACTTTACTGGCTGACAAACCCACCTTGGCCTTCTTTGGCGCCGATTCACTCTTAGAAACCCACTGTTTTGACTGTTGTTTGGTCTCTGGTGTGTTGTGATGGATCCATGTTTCGTCCACGGTTACAAAACGGCGCAAAAACTCCTCCATATTGCGATTAAACAACGCCAAACCTTCCTGTGAAGTTGTTACACGATTGCGTTTGTGGTCGACTGTGAGCAATCGCGGCACCCATCTTGCGGAAAGCTTTCTCATGCCCAAGTGATCATTCAAAATTGAAACTACTGAGCCATGCGAGATCCCTACGGCTTCCACAATCTCTTGCACTTTCAATCTTCGGTCGGCCAACACCATATCGTGATTTTTTTAGATTGTTTCGGGTGAAGAGACCTCAACTGGGCGTCCAGGACGTTCGGCATCTTCAGTGCTTGTACGGCCACAACGAAATTCAGTAAACCACTTTTTTACCATTGAAATCGATGGTGCAGAGTCCCCATAGTATTTATCAAGCTTAGCCTTGGTCTCGGTAATGGTTTTTTTTCGCAAAAAATAATGCTTAATAAGCACACGAAATTCACTTTTTTCCATTTTTTCCTCAAATTACTGGGTAGTCTGATAAAGATAGCTGTCAAACACAAACTTACTGACGCAGCAAGTTCAAATTTTGACAGGAGTCAACTGACAGATGCCTGTTGAGAGGAGTAGTGTACCTTTTTCAGTAAAGAGGTCAGAAATTCAAAAAGTCACGGACTTATTGACCCGCCCTCGTAACCATCTGTTATTGTATTCCTTAGTTTGCTTGTGAATTAATTTGCTGGAGAGATAATTTTATTTTTTTTCCATCGTAACGTTAAATTTTTCTTTTAGTTACGTGCACAAATTAGCTCAAATGCACATCGCGGCCCAGCAGTGGGCAGAAGCAGGACTCTGCCTAGAGCTACATGCGAAGTTACTATCATGGAGTCACGACCCTTTACCGCCTCGATTACGTCACCCAAACTTAGAACATGACGCTCATACCGCTACTCATCGAGATTTGAAGGTAAGTGGAATAATCGAAAAGCCTGTTAGTCTAGCGGTTACTGATCCTGAGTGCACGAAAGGCATTATGGTTTAAGCGGTCACCACGCCGCTCCTACTACGCTGAGTGTTGTGGGTTCGATCCCCACATGGGACGACACTGTGTGATCCACAAATTGTTGTTGTGAGTTTGGCTGTTCTTTGTGTCCGTTTCATGTATGTTTGTAAAGTACCCTGAAACTATGGATATATTTATAATGCGGGAGTTGTCTTTTAAACCAATAAAAAAAAAACTAAATCTGAAGTCATAGCTTCGATTTCCACCCAGGCTAAATAACTCACTATCGCCAGCGACAATTTTGTGTGTATATAGTAAAATCTTGCAACAGCACACTAAATTACTTGCAAATATAACACTGCAATTTAATCTAAATTTAGATCTTAAAGATATAGTATAGTACTCACGTGTGTATTTCGAAGTTACGCGACCAGTTTTAATTTACACGATTACTGTGTAAAATGTTATCCGTGACGATATTAAAAGCGTATTAATGAAATGCTGTCTAACTCCTGTAAAACTACATAGAAAGAATATCGTGATGTGTTATTACATTTTTTACATTAGATATCACAACATAACCTTTTCTTTTTTAAAATAATAAATTTAATGTACATAATAAACAAGTAATCTTACATAACAAGGTAATGTTATATACTAAGTTACAAAATAGATGTGAAAACCACACAACATAATCAATATATATTACAATTAAAATATTTACATACAAGCATCAAAAAATTCCTCTACATTATCGCCTAATTGTTATATATATACAGATAAACCAATTTCTAAATCTGTATAGCGCCCTCTGCGTTTGGAATTAAGCACTAGAACATTACTTTTTGTTATTGAGCTAAAAACCAGCGATAATTACCAATATTTAATTTGTTACAGCAACACCTTTACCTCGAAATCGCCGAACTCTTGAATCGCGGTCGCCAATGGGAGTTAGCTGTTGAAATTGTGAAGCAGCTTGTGGCCGTCTACGAAGAAGAGGCTTTAGGCTACGGTCCTTTGGCTGAGTTACACAATCAACTGGCTACTTTGTATGCGGCCATGTTGCGAACGGCGAGGTCACATCCTGGCTATTTCAGAGTGATATACCATGGAAAGGGCTTCCCGGAGTTGTTAACGAAGGCTACGTATGTAAGTTGGATTAAGTTTTATTTTTTTTTAATTTATAAATACAAATCCATGCCTAAGTGTAAACTACAAACTGGAGCGGAACAATTAGACCACATGTAGAACTTTGGTGTCGTGCTTCCTAAACAATATTTTTAACACGATGTTCTATTTTTTTCCTTTTGCCTGCGACCGGCATGGTTCGCGCCAATCTATTTATATAAATAAAAATAAATCGCCAAATGTGTTGCTAAGCTTAAATCTCGATAACGTCTGGACGAATTCGGCAAATTATGTTTTTATAGTTTCGTTAAGGCAAGAAAGGTTCTTGAGAAGAAAAAAACGTAAAAATTCCGAGAGGAAAATATTAAAACAATATTTTCCTTTTACCAAACAGAGGCAGCATTTCCCTAGCTGTCAAATATTTGACGTCACAACAAAGCAAAGGCCCGTCAGGATTGTGTTTGGTATGCCTATAAGTTGATTAGGCTGTACTTATTTTAATCCGTCCCTACCCAAAATTGAAGTAAAGTGATCACTCTAAAACACGTATGTTTTCTATCGTAGTATGACAGGTCAATAACTTTTGACAGAACGCAGCTGTCAACGCAGTGTGTGTATTTTATGATGATGAACGAATGAATGAATGTGTATTTTATGAAAACCAAAATCTTGAGCTATAGATGAAATGGAATAATATAATGCGAATATAATAATAAGAGAAAGCAGTCAACCGCAAACTTAAGGCCACCGTTGCATTTTTAACAAATAAAAAATGTCTTTCATACTTTGCAGGGATACATCTATCGGGGCAACGAATATGAACAGCTACACGACTTCAAAGACAGACTCCTCGACGAGTGGCCTGAAGCTGAAGTGTTACCAAAGCTCGACCCACCCGGCCCCGAGATCACCGAGTCAGACGGACAATGTATCCTTTCTATAAATCTTATAACGATTGGTAGCTTTTATCATAAACATTTTAGTTTCTTATTTTGAATCTATTTATAACACCATCGTATAATTTTATATGCATTTTCCATTTGGTCATTAATCGTAAAACGAATAATCAAATACGAATGTTTTTAATTAAATTGACGATAGAAAACTATCAAAGGTTCTTATTTATTAAGACAAACTAATTAGACATGGCAGTGAACTAGGATTATTTCTAAACTACACAAAACAGATTTACAAATAAACGCCGTAGAGCCAGTGATGGGGGACAAGCTGAAGCGTTTGTCCGGCAAGCCAATAGCGGAGCAAATACTGCAGTATTATAAACATAATAACGTCGACAAGTTCGAGTTCTCCAGGCCATTCCATAGATACGGTAAATATACTCTTGATCAAAGTCCTTTCTAACTCTATTACTTATTTTTACACGCTTTATATTAGCTTCACTTGTATGTTTGTTTGTAACCGACTCCTTTGGCGTGACTTTAAACGGTCAGAATTCGTTGAAATTTTGTAGATATATCGAGGACCGATGACAATACACTAATTAAAAAATATTAATAAAAAACTGGGGTGCTTTTTACTATTGACTGTATTTTACTGATTGTATTTTTTTTATGTTTGTTACCTCAGAACTTTTGACTAGGTGAACCGATTTTGATGATTCTTTTTTTTAGTTTGGTTTTCTATAAAAAGCGTGTTTTTTAGTTTTTCAATACTATTTTTTTAATTATTTTTTTAATGTATGCATTCATTTCTATTTGTAGTCGAATATAGAAGTCTTCAGAATTTGTAACCTTATATTAATTAAAGCACTTTTTCTTAGTACTTTGAAAAAATATGTTTTCATGATGTTAAAAAAAAATGTGACTTCCGCGCGCCATCTTAAAAGATAGAATGCCGGGTATAAAATGCCATGGGCATAAAGTTCGCCAATGCTCATAAATTAAATTATACTGTATAAAATTTGTAATTAAAGTTACTTAAATATCATTGAAGTATTTGCTGATGCTCGTAAGACGAGAAATGAATATTGGGACTCAGATTCTCTGGACTCTGATTTATTATTAATTATGAAAAAAAAAAAGAATTTGCACCTTGTTGAAAAATCTATCAGTTTTTTTCTGTGTTCTCAACGGTTACACAATTACATACTCAAAAGTTTGTAGAATATATTCCACTCAACTGCGACTACTACAAAATCAGCAAGACAGACCCATTTCAGCCATTCTAATTAGGTTTTTATTTGCAGAAGAGCCTCTGTCCGGATCAACGGATGATCTCGTTAACCAAAATGAATTTGCTACCCGTTGGTTTTCCAGAACAGAACTCCAAATCAGTGAAAAGTTGCCAGGTATTTTTTGTAATTATTTATGAAGTAAACATCAAATAAAAGCAAAGCTATTGCAGAAGAACCCTTAGTGCCTCTTTCTTTATCGCTTGAAAAAATACATTTTAGGTATTTAATATTAAGTTTATTTACTATTTACTACATTTACTGAAGAAAGAAAATATTCTGATCTGTGCAATAATTTTGTTTAACTATTTCAATAACTTTTTGATTAATCCTTCACACTTAATTGAAGTTCTATTAAAGAAGTCCTCACAAAATTGTAAGAAAAGGTTAATTTAGTTTGTAACTTTACAAGTATTAAAATAAAAAACCTATTAATACAACATATATCTTGGTCTTGGTAGGTATTCTCCGGTGGTCTGAAGTCTGTTCGCAGCGTACGTACGAAGTGTCGCCCGTAGCGGCCGCCGTAGAGGTGCTACGAGATACCAATAGAAAGCTACGCTCCCTTATCGTCGATGCCAAGTCGCCTGACTCACCGCTGCATCCGCTCACCATGAGGCTCACCGGTATGTTAATCATGCAGAAGTTAAAAAAACAGTTATTTCTGTAAATTACTCACATTAACGGATTCATTACAAGTTTGGTTTTATATATTACTAGCTGGTACCCGTGACTTCGTTCTCGTATAATTTGAAAAGCGCTGTCTTAGTTTTGTAGTACGGTACGCGACTGCAGTCCATGAGCCCTCGGGTTTAATTCCCGGACCGGGTCAATTTTTATAGAGTTTTTTCTGAGGTTAAATAGAAATTAAATGAAAATACCCATTATTTTAAAATTACAATCAGACTTCAATTTTATTTATTTGTATAGATTCATGTATGAGTATATGTAGGTATGTAAATAAGTAAGTATTTATGTATGTGTGTGTATTTAGTACGTATGTACATATGTATGTTACCACATTAATGTCTAGTGCACCTATTCACACATTTCCGCACCGCCCTAAAGTAGACTGGGAGAAAAGTCCGTCATTTTACAATTTGTATTTGTGCATAAAGAATAAAATAAATAATATATATATAAATAAATTTTTTGATAGATGGTTTATATTTTTATAAGAGTAATGTCGTAATTATATTATATCGATGTGCGCATTCGTGTTCTTAATTAGGTAAAGTTTAGGGTGTAAGTAAGAAAGAATACCTGGAATATAGTAGGCGGATGTATCTAATTTACTAGTTATCCCTTTTTTTTTTTTTGCGGAAATCCCCTCGGATACCACCTGTCGGTGGCATGTCGGACTCGAACCGACTAAAACCGCACGCCGTCTCGGGTACTAATAGCCGGGGAACCAGGTATACCCTAGAAAGGAAGTCCCTGGTGCTTACTAGTTATCCCTGGCTCTAAATTATTGGGGCATTCGTGTATGATTAAATTTCATTCTTATTTTTCATTCATGGAATTACGCCTTAGATCTATCTCCACGCTCGTCTTTTACTCAGGGTTTTCCAATGCATTTGGTTTCACCACTAAAATCCATCATATATCCTGCTCACGTCTGAAAGACTGAAACCATGATTCCAAGAATAATCTTCGTCGTCTAGTTGTACTGTGAAACTAATAAAGCTTAACCCACGTGTCAGGTATCCTGGACCCTGTGGTGCAGGGCGGGCTGGTGAACTACGAGAAGGCGTTCCTGACGCCGGCCTACGAGGCGCGCCACCCGGAGAACGCCGCGCTGCTCGCCGAGCTCAAGGACCTCATCGCCGACCAGATACCGCTGCTCAAGCACGGTCAGCTTTGCTTTGTTGGCCCAGTTGTTACTGACACTCACTGCTAACACGGACAATATTGCCTGATGAGCACGATCATTTGTTTTGTGTCTAGGTGTAATTTATCTATAATGTATATGTATTTAGAAATATAAAAGAATGTTTATCAGCAGTCCGGTTACCATAGTACAGGCTGTGCCTAGTTGGGGATCAGACGGCAGTGTGTAAGATGTGTGAGGTTATCATTATAATAGTGATATCACTTCAGCTAAAGTTGGATGGTCCCTGAAAGACTGTTATTTATTGAAAGATAAAATTTTACGTTTTTTAAGTGTGATACCGTCCAAAAATATTTTAAAAAATAAATAATAAATTATAGGCTTGGACATCCACGCTGTCCGCGCCCCGCCCGAATTCGCCGAGCTGCACGCGCATATGGACAAATGCTTCCGTCGAGTGCAACAGCACGTGCATCAAAGATATGGACGAAAGGTATCACATGTTTCTTTTTGTCATGTCTCGGGCCATTTGTATTATCGGTATGTCGGAATAAAACCACTTTGTGTTTTGTAATGAATATTTCTATTGCGAGGGATGGGACAATGTTCTCGAAGAATCAACTTTCCAGGAACTCTGCAGAACCCAAGGTTTACTGATCTATTATTATGATATCTATGATATATGATATTATGAATACATATCTTCTTTATTTGGGATATCTTAAAGATTTTGAAGTAAAATAAATATAACTATATTTTAGAGAAACTTAAAAATAATTAAAACTTTTTCTTGTTTTTGTTTGAATTTCTTTTTTTTGTTTCATGTAGTTTTTAATAATTAAGTTCTAATTTCGACTTCTACCATTTTTCACAACACTGAAAAGGTCATTAATTATTTAACCTTATTTTCTTTCTTATTTTAACCTTATTTTCCAGAACTGTGACTTAGATGAGTCCTCCGAGGTGCAGTTCCGTATGCCGTTCCGAGCCAGTTTGGCGCAAGAGTCTGGGAGTGCGACCGATAGTAATAGGATATCAGACATATCCACGAACAATGAGTTAGTTTCTATCTTACTACTGTTGTAAATACGAAAGTTTGGACAAGTGTTAGTAACTCAATCCCGGCAGATTGGCTGAAAGGATCTGGGTTAAATTTGGCACTGAGAAAGTTATTTTCTGGAGTAGAACATGGAGGATTTTAATCCTGGAAAAAATGGTTTATAAATCTATTTTTAAACATTGGTTTTATGTGTATCCAACTATCTATTCAATAGTAATAAGAATGATGTATATGAATAAAATATTTAATATGAAATATATTTTTCAGCCCAGTTGCAAAAGCAGGCAGGTTCTTCAGCTTTAACAGTGTCAGTGCCATCAATCCATTGTCAATCAGGTACATTTAATATTATATGAATTAAGTTTTTAATAACCCGAGTCCCAGAGACCACTCATTAGGACTACATGGAAAAGAGGGGTGGGAATAGAAGTCCTCCTTGGCCTATTCCCTATTCCCAATTCCCAAACAAGGTTGAGGTTGGCTTTCTATCTACTGCCATACGGATGAACTTCTAATTTTTACGTGGATCGACTACCATCAGAAGATAATATAAGTCAATTATCATCAAATCGTCTCATAAATTAAGTTTTAGTATTAAGTTAGTAAACAAGTTCTCTGTAACAGCTTTTTTTTTGGTTATTTCACAAGCTTTGTGAAATAACCAAAAAAGTTCTCAAGTGCATACACTTACTATACAGAAGCTTGACACCTTAGCGTTCTCTGCCACTTAACCTTCTGTTATATACAAAAGTACTATTGTCACATTTTAATTAATATTAAAAAATCCTTTTTATGTTTGTATGAACCATAGGAACAGTAGCACAAGCGTCGTCAACCGGTTTGCAACGCTTCAAAACTCACCTGGCAGAAGAAATAAACGAAATAATATGAGAAAGGTAAATAAAAAAATATACACTATTGGTATATTTTTTTAAGTAAAAGTTACATCTGTCGACTCGATGACCCACTTAAAGTTCCTAACACTCAGTTTATTTTTCTCTTTAAAACTTCTTTAACCTATTAAATCACCTTATATTTTCCTACTTCTTTTTGATGAAGTTTTAACTTTATTGAAGTTAATATTCTCACAGAGCGAAGTCGGTACGCCAGCGAGCGGCAGCCAATGGTATACGTCCCACTCCACGCCCAACGGGTCCGGCAATAACACTCCTACCACCGTCAACAACAACAACTCGCCTTTCAACAACAACTCTGTCAACTCTAGTGATACGCCTTCCTCTTCCCCTCTAAGGGAGTTAAGGCAAGAGGTGAGCAAAAGATATAAGGTCAGTTGAAGTATCATGGTTTTTTTTTACTTGTGAATCTAACAAGTAACCGGTGTTAATAAAACCTATCAAATGTATCTAACAACAAAAAAATGTATTTCCTAATGTTTTGTTACTAATTGATAGTGTTTTACAGAGCTGCCTTTATGTAAGTTACAAATTGGAACCATTTACAAGATCTGCCTTTTGAAGAATGGTCGCTATTGATGCCTTTGTGCACTGTACGTGCTTCCCTGTGCACTATGCTTCCTTGCGCATTACACAAACGACAGTGTCATAACTCTCAAAATCAACAACATATTTTACTCAAAAAAAAATCATATTTGTGGTTGACTTTAATAAATTCATCTGTAATTTTAAATATAAACTAAAAAAACTCTTATATAGTTATATTCATATTTATTAAAGGTATACAATTTACTTAATCGGTCATGGGGATGTTGAGGGCCTCCATAGGGCCGTCGTCGAGACTCTATGGTGACCCTCTTTTAGGAGTGTAGCGCCATGCCGCGATGACGTTATACTCCCCGAAATACACATGGGTATATTTACAATTTAATCATCGAATATCAACTGAATAACTGATTTCTAAGTAATAGTAAAATAGTATCACAAACACGCTTTGAAAGTCATTATCACAAATAATACTAATAATACCACCACACAATATCATTACACGAAATGTTGTACACCAATTTAGTACATCATACATACAATAGTATTTCAAGTTGATAACCTTGTACAAATAATTTTAATTTGTCATACACACACTGCTAGTAACATTTTTATCATCTTCGGGGTTTTTTTTCTACTATTTCACTAACAAATACATCTTAGTCGAGACACAGGCACCTTTATTGTACGAGGGCTGCTCTTTATGTATCCGGAATAAAAAAGCGAAACAAACATATAGCATTTATTATAGTTTTATTGATTTTCAACATATTGGCCGTGATGATCGATGCACTTTTGCATACCTTCGAACCAATTTTCGTAGCACTTTTACCATTCTGATTGTGGGATCTCCAATACGTGCATTTTGAACGCACAAAACATTGACCACGTAATTTATTCTTCACGATTGGGAATAAATAGCTGCCACACTAGCATTGTCATGATGAAGAAGGATTCTGCGTTGACGATTATTCTTTCTTATTTCTTCAAAGACTTCTGGCAAACAAATGGTCCTGTACCTTTCAGAATTAACCGTTTTACGATCCTCTAGACTTCTAGAGGCACTGTAGCCACATGTCCATTAATACCAAAAAAACAAGCAACCATTTGCTTCAAAGTGCTTTTTGAACGAATGACTTTTGTTGGGTTCGGCTCATCTTGGAACACCCAAACCGTTGATCGTTGTTTAGTTTCAGGATCATACGCATATCCAGGATTCATCACCTGTGTAGATATTATAGACAGCCTTTGACATACCCTGATTGTACTTTTGAATCATTTTTTTTACACCAATCGACAAGAGCCTGGTTTTGGTTAATTCTCAAGTTGTGTAGAGTAAATGTTTTTGTAATTTTATATATATTCGTCATACTTATTCCCGGAGACGCCTCTATCTCGGCGATATGTAACATGACGATCTTGCATTATTAGTTCCTGCACAGCATCAATATTTTGAGGTACAACAAGTGATTTAGGACGACCTTCTCTAAAATTCATCCGTGAGCACAGACCGCTCTCGATTAAACTCACTCAACCAGTGATACACAGTTGTTTTTGATGGTGCTTCGTCCCCAAAAGTCGAAGAGAGTTGATCGATGCATTGTTTTTCAGTTATCCCTCGCCGAAAATCTTAATAAATCTTAGCACGAAAATTTTCACGAGTTAAATCCATAGTGATAAATTTTCTAAATGACGCCACAAAGGATAAACAAATGACAGCTACATGGCACAAACTGTATTCTTCAGCCAAAGAGTTCCATTTTTAAATGTTATAATATTTTTTTTAATATTGTTCTCTAACTGGCCAGTTCCGGATACATAAATAGCAGCCCTCTTATTTGCGTTGCATAAAACTCGGTCTATAGTTTCGCCTTCAAAAAAACTATTCTAGTATCTCTAGTAATATAGCCTGGGTGGTTTTTATTTGCATATTTTGCTAATAATACTAGTTTAACTATCATACAATAGGGTTTTAACTATCATAAAACTTATTTTATTAGAATTAAACTAAGCTAAAGGTGTAAATAAATTTGAAGGGTTAAATGGTTTTTTAAATAATTATTTGAAAAAACAAAACGTTACATTATGTAAATTGCCATTACCAATAGAATAAGGTGAGTTAAGTTTCGTGTGAAAAGCAGTGCCTATAAAAATCTTAGCTAACAGTGCTTTTAACAATTCAATTAATTTACTAAATAAATCCCCGAATATTTGGCTCTTCAATTGCTTAATTATCTATATGCAGTATGAATATACAATTACATACATGAAATAATTTATAGACAGTTAAGTAACTAAGCAATATAAAACTTATCATAGGTCCGTCCGATATAAGTATTAGTTCAAATCTAAACACTATACACACTAAAAAAACTGTATGACGTTTCTTTTAAGCTTCTGCTTGACAGCTGTATTTTGTTATTTGTCAGTTGGTCACCGAACGACCTTTGCGAAGCGATGCCGAACGCGAACGTCGACTATCGCAACGGACAAGCTTGCTAAATTCATCCTCAGCCCCTCCCTCCAATAGAGATTCCTTTGGTAAGTAATGTTTCTGCTTGTCTAATAGAAACACTTGTATGACGAACAAGTCATTTCTGTTAAGTAAACCATGCAATATTTGTATCTTAAGCGGCAAATGCTACTCCTTTGTTGTAGTGCTTAATGCTAAATGAGCAGTATTGTGCAGAAAAAATCCACAAATTGATCGAAATAATAATGACAAACACTGGTAAATTTTTACATGTCAGACAGACAGAAAAGTCACATTCCTCTAGAATATAAATTAAGCTCTTTTTACGTCTCAGGGGGCAAACATATTACCGTGAATCAGATCGGAAAATTGGAAAATTATTGGTAAGAAAGGAAAGGTGTGGTAGGAAAGAGATGTTCCTGATAATGATGGATTGTAGAGTTTAAGCAGCAAAAGGAGTAGATTTAAGGTACTCTATCCTAATAGAGTACCTTAAACTCGGTCTGTTAGTAAAAGTTCGAGCCGTCTTCCTCATAGAAAATTTTTAGCAATTTAGAGTCAATACTTCAATTTTGGCCAGTTTGGTGAATGGATTATTTCTGCACAACACGGCCCTAATAGAGTAAGGCTTGCCTAAGCGTCGTGCGAGTCATACTTGTTTATATTCGACTTTTTTAATAATGGGCTTGTGAGTGACAAATCCAAAGATTCATAACATCTGTTTTTTAAAGTTGATATGTTTCTTGATCTACATTACAATAGTAGTGACTAGTCGATAGCATTCGGTCCTTTGATGTAATGGGTTTTTATCGTTTCCTCTGGGAATTTTAGAAGCGTCCTCTGTCCGCACTCCACCTGGGCAGGGTAACTAAGATATTTGTTAGAAGTGATATCTTTATTTACCAACACAAGATTGTCGTAATTTCTTAATGAAGATTAATATATAATTTATGATATATTTTATATATATGTATATATAATATATATTTTTAATTAACAGGTACAACTGACTCTAATCAAGACGACGAAGAACCTCCCCCACTTCCAAGAAAATCCACCCACCGAAGCATGGACTTAGACAGTGATACGAACAACAATGGTGAGTCAGCAACTCCGCTAGCTCCTCGGTACAACTACGACACAGTTTGGGCGCCGCGCGGATCGTTTTTGTACAACTCGATGGTACAAAAGAAAACTGCCACCAATGACAAAGCTCCAACGCCACCACCGAAGAAGAGACACGCACAGTAATATACTTACGTTATACCCTCAACTTTACAAAACTTTAGTTATTCAGTTGTAGAACGCAGTTAAATGTTATGCGTATATTCTATTGTCAATATTTAAGATCGATAAGATATAGTTATATAAAAAGTAATATAAAGTGAAGACTAAACATATATTATACATTATAGTTTTAGACAATTTATTGTCTTCTATAATATTCAAATACTTGGAAGTAACAATATTGTAACTCGTTTTCTGTAGATGTCGTTTTATTTAAAATGCAACAGACTCAAAAACAGAGTTATGATATTGTTAGCATCAAGTGTATTTGTCTCGATTCCGATGTAATAAATACGTGCAGAATAACAAATGTTTTAACAGACCCTTCTCATCACTTGATTATTACTGATCATTCATTCAATTTACATCTGAATGTTTAAATTCGAATACTATTCAGTTCGATTTTAAATGTCTGATTATATAGTGTATTTATTGCTGTACTACGACTAATTTATTAGTAAATGCGCATTTGACAATACGTTAGTACTTATCATAAAGTTACCAATAGCATAAAATATTCATTGCTCAGTCGTTGTACACTAAAAGGGGAAATGTAAATACCATATAAAAGTGACCATGTAATAAGAAATGTGTGGCACACGTTTAGTGCTTAGTGAACCAGAGGTCGTAGGGTTGATTGTCATCCAGTGGGCCAATTCTCGTAATTAAAGTTCAGTTAAATGTAGATATTTTCAATTAAAAATATTTGTACGCCATATGACAAAACATCATTGTAACCCTACCTACCTATGTTTACAAATAAGGCATTCTGATTCTGACTATTTTACTACGAAAATACCTTTTATGACAGTTGTGAGATTGAGGATAGATCAGATCTGAATTGTAACCGATCTTTTATTACGAGAATTGGCCTTCGGACAAATATTTGTATGATGAGCATGATTATTTACTCCGGGTGTAATTTATCTATATATGTATGTATTAGAAATATTTAAATGTTATCAATAGTCTGGTCACCAAAGTACAGTCTCTGTGTAGTTTGGGATCGAATCAAGTTGTTATTATTATGATTACCTGCTATTAGGTCAATTTTCGAAAAATATTTTTTTTTGTTTATAAGTGGATAATGTTAAAACAGTTGAAATCCTTATAACATTAAGCGTGAATATTTCACTCACACTGTGATGAAAATGTGGATCAGTTTAGTCTAGTGGCAAACATTCTACAGGTCATTCTTGTTGCGGTCAGTGGGCTGTATATTTTTTCGCTCGTAAATGAAGTCCTTGGTTATGGGATTTAGGTGTTTTTATTGGTCTTGACCGCCGAAGAGAGCACACGCATTAACACACACGACCACTAATTATTCTCAACTGCAATGTTGCCACTTTAACAAACAAAATAATGTGTTTATAACTGCCATAAACAATTCTTTTGTTCGTATACGTTCAGTTATATTGATAATATCATACCCAGCGTGATTAATAATCAAACATTTAAAGAACGTGTTAATATCAAAATGACTTTTTATACAAACACTAGGAAACTATTTATACACAGAAACATAAATATTCACAAAATAACAAGTTTTTGAATAAGTTAATCTGGTGTAACTTTGGTATTTGTAGGTAAATAACAACTTTAACCTACTTTAATAAACATTCCTTTTTTATCAATATTTGAGCTAATTGAATCACTTTCTAGTTTAAAACTAAAATTTTAGTTAGTTCAGTATAAATGCATACTGCACGCCAATTTTTTTAAATGAAAATCACCAAAAATTTAACAAGAAATCTAATTTAATTTAGTGAATTGTAATTATTTGTAAAATAAATGTTTATGTGATATTTCACTAGATGCCATTTATCCAAAGTTTTGTAGATATATAATAAAATGAAATAAATTATAATGTTACCGAAAATTTTGTTAGACATAAGCGGGGTTTTCATTTTTAAGACATATTTCAAATGTGCTAAAGTAGAGATTTAATAGGAGCTGCTTAGAATAATTTAAATTTAGTTTTTTTATCAATTGTTTAGTTATCGATCAAGAAATTTAAAAAAAAATTGTGAGAATTCAAGTTCAGTATTTAATACTACGTAATTATATGTAATTAATAAATAAAAAACCTACTTATATACTTATTACAATGTAAGTTTCAGTTTCGGAGGTATTTCGTTAAACCCAAATGTACTTTTCACCTATTTCTAAAATTTGCGACATTAATCAACGTAATATTAAGACGATCGGTGCAAATCAATCAAACCCTCAGGCAAGCAAAAATGTTTTATGTAAAAAATGTAGGATTCATAATACATTTCACATATTAAACCCCGATTTACACAAAAAAACAGAAGTTAATTCAAATGCACATAAAACAGAACTGTTATCAGGCAATTTTGGAAACTAGTAGATTTTTAACTCTCTAGTAAATTATAAAGCACAAAAAGACGATTTATCCATTTATTTCTTAAAATTATGGCTCGTTATTTATAATGGGATTTCATTATATTTGTATTCTTGTACAACATACTCATATAAAATTGTATTATGTTTAGTACAATTATATTTTAACGATGCAAATAGAGAAGGATATTTAGATGTTTTATTTGTGATAATATGATCAGACGAATATATGTATATATTAATAAGTAGTTATACATTCAAAAAGGATTATTTATTAATTAGCTGACTCTACTACATATGCCATTATAAGAAATTCCACCTGTCCACAAATATGCGGCCATATATCACCAAATATACAATTTTTTGTGTATGTTATTATATATTTTTTAGATAAGTCGGTTTATTTTGACAAATTATTGTGTTAGATATTATAATGTAATACCTTTTTGAGATATCTTTTGTCATCAAACTGTTTTGTTAAAACTTCATAAATGCCAACTGGTTAAACTAAAAACGGTACGTTCTTCACTTACAGTACAAAGTACTGCTACCTCCCTGGTATTATGGCTCACCGTGAACCAGGTATTAGTATGAATACGCATTCGTAAAAAATTACTTTCATTGCTTAATAAATTACACCCAGTATGGAGTTGCCAGAATGTTATGAGACTTTAATATTCCAAGAAAGAAATAAATGTGTACTTTATAAACTAAAACGTCAACCATATTTTGTCGATTTGTAAAAATATTTAAACTTCCACATGTCATGTCCTCTTGTTGAGTACCATTTATATGTGAGGAACAAAGTAGTGTAAAAGAAATGTTTATTTATATATTTTGTAGCATTTTGATGATCATCTAATTGTAACTTGTAGTTTTATTTTATATTAAGACATTGTTGATTTTTTGTAGTAAACTTGGATATATTGTTAAATGGATAAAAAACAATAAAAGAAAATATATGTTATCTACATTACTGTACGAAATAAAATTGTCTCTGTTTGGGTGTTCCCACATCAATTATTCGATAGTCGCTTGTTATTAAAATTAAATCGATTAATAATCATCAATATTGTGTGGTGTCTGTCGATTAAATTCACTTGACTGTCTTTCACTGTTGTAGTAACACGCATCGTCTTCCATATTTAGAAAATAATAATTTATAAATTACAAAATCTTACCATTTGTTTTCAGCGGCCATAGAACACCAAATATAAAGTGTTGTGTTTTTATTTTGTATATTGTATTATATCTTTTAGTTTAGTTATATCGATATTATTGCGTACTCATGTTGACTCAATAATAGTAGTTTACCAACAAATAAATAGATATTTTATACAACTGAAGTTTTAATAGATTATAAAGAAGAAGAAGATGAAGATTTAATTATTCATTAATATTCTCCTTTTCCTTACATTTACAATATCTACTGTACATCGACATTTTTAATTGCACTAATCTTACTACGATCGACGTAATTAAATAATACTAAAATAGTATTCATTCTAAAACTTTAATTCTATACTCAGGTACACGATTGATGTGTCCATTTGGATTGAGGAGCCACTTCATATCTTAATGACAACAATATTATTCATCATCATCATCATCAACAGCCTTTAATAGTCCACATATATAGTAGTAAATTTAAAAAAATTGTAGCCTCGATCCTCGATTTTGTAGTATAATACTTTTAAAGTTATATGAACATAAAGGTAGCTCCCTTAATCTAAATGTTTGGATTGAGGAGCCACGTCAGAACTAGGAACATAATTTATGTATATTTATTATAATTTAGTATGATTTGTAGTATATGAGAGTAGTAGACAAAATCTGAGCTCGTTAATGTTAAAATAAAGAAAGTTACCATGCATTATATATGTGGCTCCTCAGACCAAACATAAGTTTATTATTTTTTAAGAAAGCAGTCTTTCAATTGATGCTTCATTTCTTGATCATTTAGTAGTACCTAAGTAAATTTGTAGTATAAAGAGCCAGTAATTACAAATGAGTGAATTGGGAGATATGGCACATTTTAACTGGCTCCTCAATTAAGATGCTTCGGTAAATAGATTTGACTCTAATATACCTATAGGAGGATCTACTTGTGAGGAAATTTGGAACATAACACATCTATATTTTGCATAAATTTATACTAAATGTACGTATAATTCCATCATAAAAAAGTACAGTATCTACGCAGTTATTAGCTATTCTTTAATTTCCTAACAAACATTTTTTGTAGGGTATAAATGAATAACAAATAAAAGGTATTTTTTCGTTCCGTTTCGTACAAAAATTAATATGGTTACCTACCTACCCTCAATATATTTATTTTTACAACACTACACAAGATAGTATCTCAGCACTGATAAATAGTTATTGCAGACGTAGTGAATTATTACTTTTACATTTAATTATTCTCATCTAATATTAATTCATTGTATAATTTATGTCGAAATTGATTAATAAATACTTATAACTGAGATATTTCTGTACATTCCTATATTTCGATAATTGTCGATTTGTTGACAATTAAATTTCAAAAATTAGTCCTTTTGATTTAACATTTTGACATGGTCAGCCTATATAGCGAATTC